GGTTTCCAAATTTTCCAGCAAAATAGCTGATGAGTAGAAAAGCTTTGGAGACTTTCGAGTTGCACATTTTAAAAAGGGAACTATCACTAATATATTTATTATGTTTACTTATTCTCTATATTTAGCAAATATGTGTTTGTGAGGAAATGAGTGACTTAATCTCGGTTCCCTGTCAATCATTGTTATGTTTGTTTGTTTTTTAAAATGTAAATTTAAAACAAAAATAGAGAATCACATAAAAAAATAAGATTAACACATGTTAGATGTGATTTTCAATGTTTTATTTTTTGGTGTAATTCAGTGGAAAGAGGAACTATCATGTTTTGAGGGTTCCTTTATTATTCACACCAGTCAATACTTTTATACTGGTGTGAAATAAGCAGAAGAGGGAAGTCGAAACCTACTTGCCTATACATCCATCATGACCCAGGAAACATCCAACCCATCACATGACATGCTGGGGAATTTGATGCAAAGGGAGGGAGGTTATCTTGTTTCTACTTTATTTTGTTAAAGGGACACTCCAGGCACCCAGACCACTTCTGCCCATTGGAGTGGTCTGGGTGCCAACTCCCATTACCCATAACCCTGCAAGTGTAATTATTGCAGTTTTTTCTACTAGACAGCCACTAAAGGGCACTTCCTGGATCATAGCACAGAAAACCTGTGCTAGAGCGTCTCTGGATGTCCTCACGCTGTGTGAGGACCTCCAGCGTCGTTTAATTCCCCATAGGAAAGCATTGAAAAGCATTTTCAATGCTTTCCTATGGGGAGCTCTAATGCGTATGCGCGACATTGCCGCACATGCACATTAGGTCTCCCCGGCCGGTGGGCGGGATCAGTCTCGCCCACCGGCCGACGTAAAGGCTGTGAGTAGCGGTGGCGAGAAGAAACCACTGTCGAGGGACATTGGCGGGGTCTCAGGTAAGTGACCTGAAGGGGTTTTCACCCCTTCAGCAACCGGGGATGGGGGGTGGGAGGGAGATGGGACATGCAGTGCCAGGAAAATGGATTGTTTTCCTGGCACTGGAGTTTCCCTTTAATGAATGTGTTGAGCATGGCTGGTGGAAGGATTTTTGCCACCATAAGCATAACAATTTTGCCGCCCAATACACTTCGCCAATAGTATGTAATCACATTAACCACTTTCCCGTATGCACCACTATGGTGTGGCATCCTGTCCCACCCATATGATGCTACTCACACAAGCTCACTGACACAAACACACACACACCAGCTCTATTATACACACACAAGCTCACTAACACAGACAACCTCACTTCACACAACCTTACAAACACACACAAAAGCTCCCTAAACACAAGCTCTCTAATGCACACACAGACGCAGAGTACAGGCAAGCTCATTGTCACATACATAGACACGCTAACCACAAACAAGCTACAGACACATATAAACATAAGCTCACTAGACACCTAAGCTCTCTGACAAACACATGCATACACAAACTCACTAACACACACATTCAAGTCGACTACAGACAAGCTCACACTGACACACACATACAAGTTGACTGAAACAAATAAACACACAGACACACACAGACAAGCTCACTACCTACACTCTCACTAATGCACACAAACAGACACAAGCTTATTACACACAAGCTTACTGATATACACAAGCTCAGCAGGACCGGATCTCATCTACCTACAGGCACATCCTTAGTGGGGGCACTTACTATACCTGTTAAAAGTCCCCTCCCTACAACCTGCCTGAAATCTGCTGTTTTCAGACCAGAACAGAATATTGTATATATTCAGTATGAGGGAGCCTGATCTGGGCATGGTCACTGCCTCTCAGACTGAACACAGGATCTCCTGGAGTGAGAAGAAAGATGACTAACCAGGAGAAAGGAGAGGACTAGTGTCAGATTTATTGAGAAATGACAAGTACATATACAGCTACACATACTGCTACTTATATCAAAACTGTACGCACTGGTACACATACTGCTATCCACTGCCACACACAAACTACTATACACACTACTGCACATACATTGTTACACACACTTCTAAACGTGCTGCTACCCACAGTCACACACACAGACACACACATACTGCTACTCACACAGTAACAAACACATACTACTGTACACACTGACACACACAGACATACATACACATAGACATGCATGTATACATTTACTTTTGTGCACACACTTAAAACACATATGCATGCACAAAATTGTTTTGTCAAGTTTTTGTTTTATCACTGGCATACACACATTCACTGTCTCTCACTGCATGTTGACCATTTGAAGCTTATGAGCAGCTTGAAACTGGAGTTTGGAAGGCAGAGGGTTGCCTCATGCTTTTGGTTGCCATTTCCCAGAGTTTGAACTGCCGGCTCTTGTATAGTTGGGGCCCAAAGAGGTAGTGAGCGTTTGAAACCTCCTTCCCATTTTGTCTCTGCACCAGCTCCTATGTTTCCCTGCCCCACTTACTTTCTGCATTGTTGGCCCCACCCTCTCACATCTATCGTCCCCATGCGCAGTGGAAGGGGAAGGAACACACAAACACTGAGCCCTCACACTGCCTAATGGAATGGATTAGATGCAGTGTACATGGGGAATGGGCGGCCAACAGGTGGATGATGTGTAACACTGTGTGTGTAATGTATTCCCCCACCCTCCACCCCAACATTTTGGCCTGTGTTGAACACCAACCAGGTGTCTCAGGGTTCCCTAGCCAATCAAAAATGCTTGCCTATCGCCCTCACCATAGTAAAAGATAGGGGGGACCCAAAAAACCTAATTACTGGAAAAAATGTATACTTACCATAAAACATTATTCTTGAAACGTTTGTTTTCAGAGCCACAAAAGGTCAACAAGAATCCTTAAAGACAAGTTACAATTATTAAAATTAAGATGGCTCTAATCAATCTAATTAGGCAAGTTTCACTTGAAATCCTGATTACTCATTTGAACACACAATACTGTGAAATGTACACTGCTGAACACTGTTTGCTGGCCAACATCTTAAAAGTCATCACAAACCACTATCTGCCCAGCAACAAAACGTATAGGTTGTGAAGAGATAAAAATTGGGCGAGAGAATACGGTTAACACAACAATGAGGTCAAGACAACCATCATTCTAAAACTTGCCTCACCCAAGATGTCTATATTAAAGCGATACTGTACTGCCAGGAATACAAAGCTGTATTCCTGGCCCTATCGCCCCCCCTGCCCACCTCCCCCTCCCCCACCTCCCCTCTTCCCCCAGTAAATAAAGGTAAAAACCCTTTATTTACTTACCTTTTCCCAGTGCTGATGTCAGTCGGCACTGGGTCGCAGCTCCACCCCTCCTTCCCACAACGAGTGGGGTCTAATGCACATGTGTGGCAAATGCGGCTCGCATTAGACCTCAATGCTTTCCAATGCGGAAGAATCTGACATTGGAGGTCCTCATGCAGAGCATGAGGACTTCCAGCGTCAGATACGGACCAAAGATCTGTTTCAATCCAGGAAGCCCTGTAGTGGCTGTCTGGTAGAAAGCCACTGAGGGCAGACTTACAGATACAATGTAAACATTGCAGTTTCTATGGAACTGCAATGTTTAACATTGCAGCACTAAGTGCAAAAGGGACATTGCACCCAGACCACTTCAATGAGCTGAAGTGGTCTGGATGCCCACAGTGTCCCTTTAAATAAAAGAAAATAGGCGTAATGATAACAGACTATTGAAATACCAAAGAAAACCCAGAGGTAAAGAGTGAAAAGCAATGTTTGAGGAAGCAACAAAGAAAGAGGACATTGGATTGTTGACACGTTATTTTTATCCTGGGCTGAGAGATGATTGGTTGGAAGGGAGTCATGTCACCAAGTGTACCTGTGAACTCCCCACTGATATATAGTTTTGATGTATAGTACTTTACTGGTTACTTTTTTTTCCCTCATACTGAGACTAAAGAAAGATAATATGATCGTGATATTGCCATAAAATCACCTAGCTCTAGGAATCCCCTAACTTGGGGAAATTCACAAAGAGTTATGATGCATTCCTACTAATAAATCATTATCACACCACATGATGAATGAGAGTTACCTCAAAGTTCCAATACAGGTAATACTGTTTTAACTCATTGAGGGCCAAATGTTATCTTTTACTATTAATACAATCTGGTCACTTGGCAAGACCTGCTTATTTAGTTTTCTCAGCTTCCTTGCAGGTGTTAAACCAATGATGATGCAAAGTAGGAAGTGCTGAACTGCTATTAAGCCTTCCAGTGTCAAACTGACTTACATGACATGCATATAGTTTGACAAAAAAAAAATATTACTCCTGGCAGTACAATTACTACAATAATCCACAGTTGTTATGGTGTAAGAGGGTGCTTTGACTTCACAGGTGTTTACTGTACAGGCTTCTCTCTATTTGGGTTTCCCCTAAACTGCATGGCTTGAGTCTATGACAGCTGTTTGTAGCCTACATATTGCAGACAGTAGCTGGCTATGCAGGTTGCCCTGGTAACCTGTGCTATAGAATTTGTGGGATTCCTGTCACTCAGACAGACAGGAAGCCAGCTCTCCCACACTCAGTTCTGTTACATGCTGCTGTTGTTTTTCTGCAGTGTAAGTGGGAGGGGGAACTCAGACACGTCTAACCTGTTGTACAAGCATGAGTTTCCAAAAAAGGCAGGGGCGGGAGCTGTGAAGCTTCTTACAGCAAGAGCTGCTATACAAAAGGAACCAGTCAAAGCTCACTGCTGCTTTTTTAATATCTAAGCTATTGGAGGCAGACCTGACGTCCTAATATCACAATCTGAAGCTTGGTCCCTGGCAGGCGAGGCTGCTCCATCCCCTCTAGTTGATTAGGAATACTATTCAGAAACCCCAGGCTGGTGGTGAGGAAAGCAGTCATCTTTGGAATAATGCTGACAGCCTGAAGGCTCCCTTGTGACTTGTGTCAATACACTATCAACCCTTCCTTCATCTCAAACTGCATTTGCAAAGACCAGCAGAGATCACTTGCATGGTGCCAAAAATGAGGGTAAGAAACATGTTTTAGTCTTTTTATATATATATATATATATATATATATATATATATATATATATATATATATATATATATATATATATATATATAAAATAGAATTTGAATGTATTTAATTTTATCAAGTGTTCATTTTGCTACTGGTCCCACAGATTCTATACAGAATGTAGTGAGCAATGAAAAGGGATTTCTATCCTTGCTGGATGAGCGTCATAGGAGCGGGGATCCATAGCTACAGTAGTGTATGCACATCACTCTCATAGAGAAATGACAAGATGATAGAATTGGAAATAAAAGGGGTTGAGCCTGTAGACATCTTGTTATCGTGGTGCTGTCTTGTTATGTTATCCTCTTTATATTTTATTTTATTTCTCTCTTATCAGTTGTAGCATTATATTATTTAGTGTGTGTGTGTGCTAGACTAGATTAACTCAAATTTAAAGTCTGAAGAAGTAACCCTTTGGATGCTTGTGGTAGGGGTTGCATACTCCTGTCGAATTAAAGGGTTAAAGAAAGCCTGGATATTGTTTCTTTTATAATCCAACTTCTTATTTCAAATTCTGTTTTTAAAATAGATTCATAAAAAACATAGTATTTTTGTATTTTGCTTAGGTAACAGTAAAGATGAGTACATTAAATACAGATTTCTGTATTCACAGCATAGCAAGAAATATGGATAATTCATTCCTATCACACTAAAACTAAAAATGAACATCCATTCATACAGAGAAAATCAAAAGAAAACTGGCTGCTATGGATTGTACAACACTACAGAATATGTTGGTGCTCAGTAAATAACGATGCTCAGAATGTCATGACAGCCATAGAATGTGGGTGAAACACATGTTTTTGAAGGCTTATTAAGTGCAGGTGCATTTCTCTTGGTCCAGAGCTGAAAAACAAAAACAGGAATTTCCCCATTCTTCCCCTGACTGACTAGGAACTAAAAAAATTTTTTAAGTTCTTTGTGTCATTTCCTATGTTACATTAATGCTGCTTTATGTGATAAGAAACTGTATATTGTACTTCTCATTAATTCTGTTTATGGAGTTGTCTATGCCGGAGTCTTTGCCTTCCTGCTCCATATCTATTGAAAACAATCTTAACTATAAACAAGCATCAGTTTTGGGGCAATGGATGTTGTCCAATGTACGAAGTCGTAGAACAGTTAAATGATGTATTGGTCATGTCCCATTTGATTTGTAATACAATGTCTTTCTCCCTTTGGTTATGCAATTGCTTGTTGGCTCTTAATATAAAATGTAAGCAACAGGTGAATGGGCATATATAACAAGGATGTTAATGCCAGATGGTTCTTTAAACAAGGATTAAGATTTGTGTTGTTTAAATTGGGTGGCTGCAAGTTGACTGCCAGTGTTTGTTTAATTTTTGTTAGGTTACCATTTTTTCCCCTGTTCATCCCTCTCTCAGCTCACTAGATTTTTTTTCTTCCTCTTTTTTTATTCCATTGTTGCTCGACCTCTCTCTACTCATTGCCTAATGCCCATCTTGTGGTCCTTGTATTTCCCTTTTGTTTTTTGTTTTTCAGTTGTATTTGCTTAGTGCTTCACGGTGACAGTGGTACATTCTGTTAAGCCCTGTCTCTCAGATCTTCCTAACATGTCATGGAAGTGATACATTTTCTCTCTCTTTTTTTAATTTTTTTATTTATTTTTTTTAGTTTTTGAGCCTATTTCCATTGGTGCAAACTGTGGAATTAATGAGGTTAAACAATTAAGTTTCTTGAAACTTTAAGGAGAAAGTTAATCTTACATATATTTTGTTTTGTATTTTTTAAAGGTTAGAGAATATTTGCGCAGGTGAATATCAGCCTTATTGCATAAGGGGCTGGAGCTTCAGCAACATAGTAGCAGAGGATATTCCATGGGACCATAAAAGTGGTCCCAATTCCAATTATTGAGCCAAATCTAATTCTAAGTGTTTCCATCCCACTACACTAAGATAAATATAATAATGGGTCACAACTTAGAAAAGTAATTATTGTGGGTACTAAGTCTAGTCCCATACCAATGGGAGGGCAATCAATATATTGCTGGTTTCCCAGGCAACAGAAGGGTAAAGCCTATACCCTGGTTGTATTAAGCTGTGTAAATTGTAGTTTTAGATATTTTTCCCAGACATTGTTCAATTGATCTATGTTTTTGATAATGTACTTGTAGTGCTGCCAAGTTTTATGTTTGTCCTGGCAAATTTCACATTTCCTAAAGACTTGGCCTCTACAAAAGACCTCAAAATCCAGTAGGTTATGTGTCCTAGAATTATTATACCCGTCCAGATCTCACATCCCCCGATTATTTGCTACCCACTGATGCCGATGCTGAAGATTTAATAATTTATTTAGTATTATAATGCACCAATATGTATTGTAGTGAATTAGTCAATAAAACATGGGTAATAGTGGGAAAGCCAATTTAAGTTTTAAGACAAAGGGATTCTATGAGTTTACAGTGTAACAATATGATTTTGATGATTTTATCTTCCATGTATGGAGGGACTTTGCTGTCCTATCATGCTTGAGACTACAATGTGTCAATGTTTTTTGCCATTAGAGAAAAAGAAACCCATGTGTGAATTGATAATGCTGTGTGTTCTGTATTATTGTAAATAATTTCTTTTTAAGTAGTAAGGTGTACAATACCCATAGATTGTTTTTGATTCTATTTCGCTTAGTGGTATCACAAATTGCAGAATGTCCATTGCCAACGTTACATTTGAAGAGATGACAGTGTGTCACATTGACAGTAGTGGAAATGACGAGGAAAACATAGATTACAAGGGAGCATATTCTCAGAGCATCATCATTTATTAGTGTCATGCAGGTGCTAATATATTTGATGAATTACAAGTGCTTGACGTCAATGCAAAAAGTTGTTGTTGCAGGAAAGGGTCAAGCTGACCCTGTGTTAGACACATGCTGTCTGGGGTTACAATGACCATTACCACATCAGGGACTGTGGGTTGCTCCTGCTTTCAAGTTGCCTATATTTTGTATGGGTTGAACAAGATCAAGTCCCCCACCCCCGACGTAGTGTGCATGCTTCCCCTTGTTTAGCTTTGGAAAGATGGGTAATGCTTAGAATTGACTCATTTAGGACCTGCTTTAACCCCTTAAGGACACATGACATGTGTGACATGTCATGAATCCCTTTTATTCCAGAAGTTTGGTCCTTAAGGGGTTAAAGCATGGAGGTTATTTTTCGTTTTTTCTTTCTTCCAGATCTTTGGATGTTATTAGGTTACATACCAATTAGTTGTAGAGTATGACTTAACCTACCTAGTTTGTGCATGTCAGAGACTCAAATAACATTAAGCATGCATTATTTATTATCCAAATGTAAAGCTGATCACCGTTAACATCAACACCATTAATTTAGTTCTCTCCAATATCTAATATTTCCAATTATTTGGGTTTACAGTGTGTGTCTGGAGTCAGTCTTTTCAAATGACTAATCTTCTCCCCAATAAATAAATAAATAGGTATGAAGTCCTTTCATTTAGCAATATAATTATATTCCATTTTGTGTTTACTTTCAATGATAAAACTGTTGCATTGTTACAAAAATAAAAATGTTCATGTTTTTTTAAATTTTTTTTTCCCTCTTTTACAGTTTGGTCAGGTTGGCAATGTGTGTTATAGTTTATAAGCCCGGCCTATAGATTGAAGAACAGCAATCACACAATGTTGTTTAACAGTGATGAAATATATGAATTAGGTGTCCTGTTGGTCCACTGTGATCCAGTGCTGAAATAATAATAAACGCAGTCACTGGATTTGCATCGTACACAGCCCCTTCTTTCTTTGGTTTATGGAGAAGAAAGGTGTAATTGCTCCTTTCCTGCAATCTGGAACTGCAGTGAGCAAAGATAGGTTGATTGGTGTTTTGGAAATATATGTAAAACACATTTTAGATAAAAATGGAATGAGGGCCATGATTATAAAGTCGGTTGACTGATACATTCTAATGTCTGCCATGTCAGGTGTGCCTGAAATAAATCCTATAGTTCATTGATACCTTTGATATGGCCTACCAGTTAGGTTAGCAGAAATCGCTCAAACACATGTAATTCGCCCTCCTTGTTACACATCTGTTTTATTTTCCCTTGTTGAATTTTTATTGTGCCCCTTCTCTTGTGTATGTAGATAAGTTTGTTGAATGCTTGTATGCATTTCAGTGAATTTAGGGAACCAATGCTGTTGTTCATGTTTGATAACTGCAATAATACTCAATAATAAATCACAAACTTAAGATCAGGGGTGCCCAAAAGGTAGATCCCCAGAGGTTTTAAGACTGCATCTTCCATGATGTTTTCTCATAAAGGCATGCAAAGCATCATTTGAATTGTAGTTCTACAACATTTGGGGATCTACCTTTTGGGCACCCATGTTTTAGATGCATCTCTTGCAAGTGGCAGAAAGGGGCACTGTAGTCACCATAACCATTTCTTCCCTTTAATGGTTATAGAACCTGGTGTCCTCTTGTGTCCTCTTGTGGTGTCCATCCATTCAGTGTTAAACCTTTTTAAGCAGTTTAACACTAAATAAGGGTTCGTGGCCACCCACAGCCCTGCCCCAAACTGTAGATATGGTTAAGAGAGCGATTACACTCTTCCTTCTGGCTATACCAATTCATACCAGCAATGGGACCTGTGATGGGCGACACTCTGAGCCAATCACAGCTGCCTATTGCTGCACAGGTTGTTTCCTTATTAGCCCAAGCAGCACAGATGTGATAGGCTGCTGGGGACTCTCCCTTAGCATTAAAATAGTTTAACACTGACTGGAAGGCCATCACGAGGGGACCTCGGACATTATATTTACTTTGATAAGATGAAGCAGCTACAGGGCCTACAGTATCACTAAATTGGTTGGGTCTAGTAGCTACCCAATTTAATTCAAAATCCTTTAGTGTAATATATAGATTCTGGGTTTCCTTAAAGCTTTACCTGCTTGTTTATTGCCTGTCCCAAACATTGACTTAAAACGTTTTCTATATTTTCTCTCTTGTGTTCTATGAAATCTATGTATAGACTCAACCTAGCATCATTTGATGGTCAGTGAGCAATAAGATACTCAATTATATAATATTTCTACTTTGTCTGCTCCATAAATTTGTTAGTCATCATAGGATTTAGCAATCCACTCTCACCCATCCATTGGCAGGGATTTACATTTGCATTCCATGTAATTCATAAAATACATGATGTGTCCTAATGCTTCCACAGTGCTATGTGTTATGTAAACCTGATTCATAACACAGCCATTATTTGGGAAGGTCCAAAAAGTTTAATTCCAGACATGATGTACTCTGCATTCTTGGCTCATCTCATCAAGGTGTTATATAAGTCTTAAGGTTTATTGGATTTCTGTATTTTATTCCGAGAAAACCAAAATGGCTTCTTTTTGTTCTTAATCGCATTCCTGAATTTGTTTAGCATTCTAATTATTATCTTCCTTTTCTCTTTAATATTATACAAATTATAGAGATGATGGTTGTAAAAATTGAGGTGACATTTTATCTTCCTTGTCTGTGTTTTTTTTGTTGTTGTTGCTTGCACTACGGAGAGATTAACCATGAAGTGACCTAAAATGGCTGCCTATTGACTTGCTTCAAGTAGGTATTTGGACAAGCTTGGGCCCATTTACCATCCCTATATTAAGAGTGGAGGGGGGCCCAAGTGGGCATCTCTGCCATGCACTTGTTCCTTTAGATTGTGTTTAGTTCTGTAAACTGAGAATATTGTCATAACTCATCATTGTTCTAATAATTTAGTAGTGGGATTAGCTTGGTTTAATTGAAGCAAAGACATGCTGCTGACTAAGGGTGATATTAATTAAAACGGTTACCAGTAATTAAAAGACTATTGTTGTTAAAAAAGAATATCACAGGAAATCAATTGTTGACCCTACTAGGAGATTGGTAAAGCAACTTTTAGATAGTAAGTTTTTTTTATTTGGCCAGGGCCCTCTTCCCCTATTGCAGCCTTATGTCAAATATGTTTTGTTAGAATCAATTGTCTTGTTTTACCTTTCGTACAGTGCTGTGGAGTATGTTTGCACTATATAAGTAATTGTATGCATAGCAGTTTTCATTATCCTTGATATTTGAAGGGTAAAATGATGCTAAATAAAGCAATTCACAAATTGTGTGTATTTACACTGCTTTCCACGTTTAACTTGTTTTCCTGTCACCTTGGTCAACAGTTGATCAATACTATCAGTAATCTATAGTCCTGATCACTGTAGACACCAAAAGTGTTCACATGCAACAATTCTATTACTGCCAGGCTTATTCACCAAAGCAAGAATTCAGCAAGGAATTACAAATTGTAACCTGTTTTTATAATGATTTATTCAGGGTGTTCTAGAATCATTTTATGCAAAAGACATTGGAAAAAAATCTATAACATTTGCTTGTCTTCAAAAACAGTGTATTTAGGAGCCTCAGTGATAGATTCTTGTAACTTAAGATTCCCCGCACCATGCGACTTGTAATAGTTTCTCAGCAGGCTTGTCATTTTTTTATATTGAGTACTTTTATTATTGCGTTATATAATTTTACCGCATTTTTATTTCTGTTTTTTTGACAGCATTATTGTGCAGCACTTCAGGTTCTGTTCTAGCCACTTAATAATAGTGCTATTATGTTACGATATCTGTACAGGACTTACGAGAGAAATAAAATGTACTTGGTCTTGGAATATAAATATAGCCGTGCATGCAATTGGTACATAAAGTGCTTGAGTTTTTAAAGCTTGTAGGCTTTACGAAAATTACTTAATAGTCGCACACACCCAAAGACAAACTGTTCAGCCTGGCTACATTGTTACTTTTTTCAGTTTTAAGCCTCCAATTAGAGGTTATGAGTTGACGCGAGGAGTGCTGCTTGTTATGCTGAGCCCTGTTGGGATTGTCTGTCTCTGTAGAATATTTTGTAATTTCCTTGTAAATAGCAAATCCACAGGGAGGAACCTGCCAGATTGTCTCTAATTCAAGGGTGAGTTAAGGAACAGAAAGTAGAAGGTATGGACTGAATGTAGTAAAATCTAAAGAGACTGTACAGCACATTTTAAATCTTTGTCAGGGCCACCAGGAATAGGGCTAGATACACTTTAAGATATGTAGAACTTAGTTTACCAATAATGCTCATTAGTTAAAAAGTCTTTCACTTGTATCATCTCTTATAAGAAAATGCTGTTAATATCTCTCTCTCTCTCTCTCTCTCTCTCTCTCATCTACCCACCTTTTAATGTGTATTTACATATAGTCTCGGTGATTTAGACTCAACTTTGTCTGGGCAATAAACAGAAACAGAGCCATGGTTTTCACAAACAAAACACAAGACTTGACCTTGGACTCTAAAAGCTTTTATTTACTGTAACCAAACAACATTCCATTCTCCAAAGAAAGCTTACTTGGATTAAAGCTATTGAACACTGAAATACATAAAATACTGTATAGTAGAATGATATTTACTATACAAAATCAAATTAATCACTTTGATATTATAGTATTGCCACCTTGTGCTGAATGCTGGAAGGTAATTTTAGTCAGAAATACTGTTTTTGAAATTCCTAAAATTTTACAAAGCGGGGTGGGGAAGAGGGGGAGCGGGACACTATCAGCAACACAAAAAGACGCATTTCATGGCAGCTTCATCACTATTCCTACTTATAAAAGTACCTTTTTCCAACCTTCTAAACCAGGCTTCCCCAAACTCTGGCCCACCAGATGTTGCTGAAACGCCCATGATTTTATGAATGAAATAGGCTGAGAATCATGGGAGTTGTAGTTCAGCAACATCTGGAGGGTCGGAGTTTGGGAAAGCCTGTTCTAAACCATGGGAGTCCAACCTTTTGGCTTCCATGGGCCACATTAAAGGAACACTATAGTCACCTAAATTATTTTAGCTAAATAAAGCAGTTTTAGTGTATTGATCATTCCCCTGCAATTTCACTGCTCAATTCTCTGTCATTTATGAGTTAAATCACTTTGTTTCTGTTTATGCAGCCCTAGCCACACCTCCCTGGCTATGATTGACAGAGCCTGCATGAAAAAAAAACTGGTTTCACTTTCAAACATATGTAATTTACCTTAAATAATTGTATCTCAATCTCTAAATTGAACTTTCATCACATACAGGAGGCTCTTGCAGGGTCTAGAAAGCTATTAACATAGCAGGGGATAAGAAAATTTTAATTAAACAGAACTTGAAATAAAGAAAGCTCTCTTTACAGGAAGTGTTTATGGAAGGCTGTACAAGTCACATGCAGGGAGGTGTGACTAGGGTTCATAAACAAAGGGATTTAACTCCTAAATGGCAGAGGATTGAGCAGTGAGGCTGCAGGGGCATGTTCGATACACCAAAACTGCTTCATTAAGCTAAAGTTGTTCAGGTGACTATAGTGTGCCTTTAAGCACAGAGGAATTGTCTTGGGCCACACATAAAATCTATCATATAATGAATTTATATAATAAATCTTAAAAACCCATTTTATAAATCTTGTTTAGTAGATAACTCCCTTATTTGTTATCCTTACGTGGTATTGCCATATTTAAGGATTCCAAATTAGGGAGCTATCTACTAAATACATACATATGCATATGCACACATAACTATATATATATATATATATAGTGGGGGCAGAGCTTGCATCAGGGGTTTGGCTTATGTGCCAGAGGCGGAGCTTGCGTGCAGGGGTGGAGCATGGACACGGCATTGCCGAGAATGGTGAAGGGAGCCTCACAGTGTTCCCTCCAGCGGCCAGCACCGTAAATGCGGCTTCAGCAGCCTCCAGCACCCCATTCATTAATCCCCTCAGACTGACACAGGCTGTCACAGTCTGAGGGAAAAATTATTTAAATGTCATTTTTTCCTTTTGCACTGTCTGGACCAGTCCAGTCCATCTCCACCCAGACTGCAACCGGGCCGCATTGCTAGCTGTCCTGGGCTGCGGGTTGGACATCCCTGTTCTAAACACTTACCACCTAGTAAGATACATACCTGAGAATAGCCAAACAGCATTAGGAAGAATTGTAAGAAATTGTAATTCTTCCACCCTATGCTTTCCCATTATATCAGCTATTTGCTTAACCCAAGGTGGAAACAGTGGAAGAGTACCGTCTACCTCCTCAGAAAATGGAGTGTTTGCGACCAAAACCTTAATGGCAGCATTACAGCCCTCTTTCCCTCAACTTGCAAGTGTTGATCGCACTAGTCTTGCCACAAAAGGGGATATTGTTGATCTTTTGAGTGATATGAATAAATTATATCGCTGTATTTATTGAAGAGTTCCAGACAATGACAGGGAGTATGTGAGCTTTGGAAGATATTACTGCTATGAGGGTCATTATGCAGATATCTGATAGCAAGTTACAGAATCTGATGTACTCTCATACAGCCCTATCATAAGAATAGATACTATTGACTGTGCATGCAGGCAAAATATAAAGCATTGGTGGCTCAGTGGGGGTGGAAGAACTGCACCATTGTCTGGAGGCTATTTTCTACAAATCTACCAAAGGTGGGTCCTATTGGATCCCCAAAACTTCCAGAAAATGTCTCAAAGCGATTATTCGTTTTCAAAGTGCTGATGGCTCTCAAAGGCAAGATGACTATCACTTGTAAGACCTGGTAAAGGTTCCATTTATCACTTGAAACATTTATGTGTTCTATTTGATTCATATTAGGAACGTTTGCTTCATAAGACCTGTTTTTTTGGGGCTCAACAGGCTTTAATATAGTTAGTAAGAATAGTCATGTCTGAATAGTCATGTCTGATTTTATCCCTTTTTTATGTGCATTAATTTAAAGTTGCTAAGTGTTCTTACTAAATATCTACTTCTCACAGCCTACAATGTTGTGCTTGATTCATTAGGAGTTTTTACTTGCGGGGTCTGTTTCTAAGGTTGTTGTTTTTTTGTTTTGTTTTTTGGTGCCATCTCTTGCACTACGTTCTGCTTTTAATAGGACGTATTTAGGACATATTAGTATCAGGACATGAATGTTGACTGTGAAATCTGCTCAATCTGTTTTTAACGTCAAGCACTTATGGATATTTTTATTGTCTGCAATAAAGAAAATTACACACCAGTTAGCTCAAGGTTGTAATGTTTATTTTCTATATGTTGTACTACAATGGTGGACCCATTCCTTTTTTTTTTCTTCTTTTTTTTTAAACCAGCTCCCCAGCTTTTTATTAAGATGCCCTAATCTTCTTTTGACAGAACGATTATAAAGAGCAGAACGGAAGGAGACTGCATTAATAGTAGTGCAACCATGACTTTAAAGTTCTTAAATCTTTACCGAGGATCTTCAAAGGCTAGAAGTTCCTTCTTGTGTGTGCTGCCTTAATTTGCCAATAAACCTTGTCTAAAATTGATTGTTCCCCTTTCTTTGTTTGTAATAATTTATTAAATAGAGGCAAACGTTGTGCCTTTATACTTTTTTTTTAAACAATGTTTTCCTGTAGAAAGAAGAGGACACATTACTAATCATAAAGCATTACATATTGTTAATTTGCATCTTATTTTATATTTTAGGAAAGTATGCCGCAAACGCCAATATTTCCCAGCATGCTCGGCTCCACCTGTAGTGGGCAGGTGCAGCCAGAAATGGGGGAGCAGTGTGGGGATCCGGTTTATCAAGATGGCAACCTGGTGTCTGGGTCCTTGGAAGCTTTAATAGAACGTCTTGTGCCCACAGTGGATTACTATCCAGATGTAAGTACATTTTTGGATATGTATCATTTTTGTTTAATGTTCTTTTTCCATGTCTAAATGCAGAGGCTTAAAGCCAATTTAAAATTAAAACGAGAGGTCCAAATTTGTGATAACTGGTTTGTCTCTTTATGTTTTTTTTTTTTTCAAAAGTACTTGTGGGATGTTTTGTATTTTTTAAACAGTCCTAGCCTCCTTTCAGTAGTAGTTGCAATTTCTTTTAAAAGCTGACGAATTCCAGAAGCCTATCATTAAACGGTGACATTCCTCAGTCAGTTAAGACTTTTGCTGGACACACAAATGGCCATATATTCTTGAATGGTAAAGTTCTTCCAGAAACCAATTTTAAAAAAATAAGAAACTTTGAAGAAACCCGATATGTGTATGGATATTTTCTTACGGAAGCTGAATTCTGTTTGGATAAAAGTTCCCCAATGTTACTTGAGGTTGTGTCTGAATGTAGTCTTCTGTCTGAATACTGCAGTAACACTTGAATAATAGCCTCCTATTAATTGTATTCTTCAGAGTACATTATATCATCTTTCTAGTGGCATAAATGAACAGGAACTAAACTGTATAATTACATTGGATGCTATAATTCCGATCATTCTGACTCTGGCCTAAGCTTTTACAGAACTAAACTTATTTATTATCATGTCTTGCATTAGAACATTGAGCACTGGGAAATAAGCTACCCAGGCACAGAAGAATCTATTCATCTAGGAGAGCCTTTCACTCCTAATACTGTGTAGAGAACCCTGAGGTTATAGTTTTCTATTCTTAAGGAAACCCACAGTTATTCACTGTCTCTGCTTCTATGAGAAATGCTACTTCACTGAGCCCTTTATGTGGTTATGGAGGACATATGCCACTGTAAGCCACAAAGTGGTAAAATGTAAATAGATAGAGGAAGTGGGAATTTAGAGTTGCTTACATACTGAGAATTCTGTCTCTTGACCCCTAAGGCCTGTCTCCCTAAACAATGGATCGTGCTGACTCCAGTACAGTGATGGCCAAAATATCACACTTTAGCTGTTAAAACAGGTTTTCATAATCCTCAATCAGCTTAATGGACATGAACATTCCATCTTTTGTGTACATTTCCCACAATGCACTGCTGCTTCAATGGATAGCAGTCAACCCATGTTTTTAGACTTCTCATGACACTAAGCCAGCTGAATGGACATGATTCAATGAGTTTTCATGGATGCCATTTTTCATGAAGCTCTGACAGCTGCACAGACAATCAACTGTTATACATGAACTCCCTTTTCACTAAGACCTGTCAGCTGTGTGGATATGAATCTACCAGATTTGAGAACGGTTTCCCTGCTTAGAAGATTTGCATACACGGATAGATGTGCTCTATATATTGGGCATATATTTTTTCAGCTTTGAGGTTCACACATTAAATTTGAGTAGGGAAGAGTTAATTATTTCAAGCAAAAGCGGGAAACGGTACTATATCGAAACTCCTAGAGTAGATCTGCAAATTTATTGACTCGTCTGAAAAGTATTTAAACATTGTTTTCTTCTCTACTCGCTGAGTTTGGCAAAAGAATCCATTAATCTTTGAAAATAATTATTTATTTAATTAACTGGCCAGCATGAGCTCCATCATAACAGAAATGTGTTAGGATAAAAGTATGGTTCAAAAAAGGAATGATTTGTCCTGGTAATTAAATAGCAGCCACTGTACAAGTTTAGCCATACTGCCAAATAGCTTCATTCAAATATTTATTAATGAAGTTACTAGTTGAGGCTCATGTGAGCTGCTACTGTGCAGGCTCTCTCATACAAACCAACGTAAATTGCTGAATAGCATAGTGTGCACACTCTGCAGAGATTCTTTTTTGTGTGTGTAAATCGTTGCAGCTATGCTGTATAGGATAGTGACTGACGGTGTGTTGGAGCTCATCGCATTGTAACCAATATTTTGAGGACCTCTTTATTTCAGATAAAACATCTTTAATGTGTCAATACCATAATCTTTTCTAAAGTTCTACCAATGCTTTTGGCATGGCATGTGTGGCTGTTTATTACAAGCGTGTTGATGTTTTGGGAACAAAATGTGCTCTCATTCTAAACCCTGTTGTCTCAGAAATTCCCATAGATGTAAAAGGTCAGTGAAACTTTGCTTCAGTTCATGAGTACATTCTTGTACTGCAGACTACAATATCCATGTTTTTTATGTTTTTATTCTTCCGTCTTTTTTTTTTTTTTTCGCATGTGATTGATTGTGTTGCTTGGAAACCGTTCTAAGAAATTTATGGAGGATCCAACCTTTTTTTTTTTCCTTTTAATATGCGTTGGCATCCGCTTCAGTGTAGCTGCAAAAGGACCTTTTAATGTTGTTTATTGTCAGCTGTAACTGCTGCAAACAGCAACACAATGCCTTTTCTGTCCCTTTTTATTATTGCCTTGCTAAATCATATGTTTGTTAGTACTGAGTGACATCAACTGTTTGAATGCGAAACACATCAACACTGCCACTATCTAGCAAGCTAAGGGAGTTTATCAAAACATCTGAAAACAGGTCTTGACATCTTATATACCAATTAATAAAACAATGTTTGAGGATATGCCATTTTATTTATCAGGAATGCTTTTTAACAATGCACATTTCAGGGTTGTAGTAAATAGAATGTTGCCCCCGAGCCCCCCTGTAGTCTATCTTCTAGTTACACAACCCTGATTTATGTATGTATTATATATTATTATCTTCAGCACCAACTAATTCTGCTACGCTTCACAATATTATAAAAGGAGGAATTTTAACAATAAATGAGAAAATTAATTGAATAAACTGGCAGATATAGTACCCCTGGATTGACTGAAAAACAACCCATCAGTTTGGCAATCCTTTGGTGTGTGAAGGGTTTATATTAGATAAAATTTGAGTTCCATTCTTTGATTTATTTATGAAAGGAACCTGGCTGTTAATGTGGGTAGTAGCTAGACAGCCTAATTAATAACGCAAGTTAGAATTCTCAAAGGTAACTGTTTTCGCTTGGAAACAGGGGTTGGGAGGGCCATACTCTGCAACACTAGTAAGAAAACCCATTGTAATCACTTGGGAGTGAGCTGAGCCAGGATATGTAGAGCTGACTGTGGGAAAAAGCATTTTTAAGCAAACAAGTGAGAAGCAAACATGAAGCATAGCAAGGAGCCAAAGAAAATTCAGACAGAAGTGGATACAGACACGCCAACGTTATCGCACACATTTTGGAAAACAGTTCTTCCATGTTAACTTACAGGTGTAATGAAAGCATGATTTTATTTGTAGAAGATAATCTTATCTTCAAAGGTATTACAAATGTTAAGGAAATATAAGGCATATTTAGGGCTTTAATTTTGCTTTTAGACTGTTTATATTTAAGCGTAGGCTCTAGCAGGTGACCTGTCAGGTGTAAAGGCCTATAAAGCTTGCAGATGCTGGTGCATAACATGGGTGGAAGAAGGACTGCAGCTAAATTACATTTACTTTTAAGTTACCCAGCTTTTAATGTGTCTCTTGGTGCATTGCATAGTGGGTCTGTTTGCAGATGCAAACAAAATGCTCCCGCACTACACACACAAGGAAAGAATTGGCACTGACCGTCTAGAACAGGGATTCCCAAAAGGTAGATCCCCAAATGTTTTAAAACTACAGCTTCCACAATGGTTTGTCTTTCTAAAATAATTCCAAAGATATGCAAAGCATCAAGGGAATTGTATTTCTAAGACATCTGGGGATCTACCTTTTTGGCACCCCTGGTCTAGGACTAAGTGTGCTGGATTGACAGCTGTAGTGGGCTCAGTTTGTAAATTGCTGCCACTATAGTCCACTTGCAAGCAGAGAGAGTGCAAAGTGCTTATGGTGCTTAAGCTAACCCTTTCATACCCAGGATCAATAACTTTAAAAAAAAATGAGTTTTCACATTGTAATTTTATGCAAGATTACCATAGAAATGTGCCTTTGCTTCAAACTGTTTGCTAAATATTGTAGTACGTGTTTCATATTTCAGTGTGGGAATGTTCAAAACAATAATCAGTAGATGTTTTCACTTGACTATAATATTGTATGATAGCAATAATACAGTACCATAATCATTGGTTTGCTGTTTAAATTTATTGTCCTATTGGTATTTCTGGACTATGTCCTTCCACTGAAAAGCTAGTGAATGACAAACTAGAGATTATACAGAATTTCTATAGAGTGTAATTTACAGAAAATATCCCACACTTGTTTATTCTATACAGTTAAATTTGTAAACACCGTTATGGATTAGAAATGAATCGGATAATTATTTCTTTGCGATGCTTTAAGCTGCAAAATGTGTACTGAGCCTGAACATATTTTTGTGCAGTGTTACAAGGTTATAATTATCATTTGTTTAAAAAGCGGCAATTTATTATGCGACCGTGCCAGATTGAAGTCATACTAACAAATCATTGGTAACATTGCTGCTGTAGAAAAATGAAAAGAGAAATTGAGGCCCTGAGACTACACATTTTCCAAAACAGAGTAAATTAAATGGTTACTTTCGGCATGTCACAGATTTACATTATTGCAAAGTTAAAAAAACGAAACAAAAAGTTACTTGCGCACTATCCCAAATCCCTATGCACATTTAAATAACTGGAGGTTTTTTTTTAGTATCACTCCAATGGCCATTCAAGTGTAAGCTCACCTGCCACAGCAAGGCAAACTAGCAGGAGTGGGAGTTTGAACGCAGGGCTTAATTTTGTATGTTTGTATTTGCTTTTGTTCTACACAGTCTTGTTACAGTTCTGCCACCCTCCCCCATGTGTTCCCTTTAAAGGACCACTCTAGGCACCCAGACCACTTCAGCTTAATGAAGTGGTCTGGGTGCCTGGTCCTTCTAGGGTTAACCCATTTTTTTATAAACATAGCAGTTTCAGAGAAACTGCTATGTTTATTAATGGGTTAAGCCTTCCCCCAAAGCCTCTAGTGGCTGTCTCATTGACAGCCACTAGAGGCGCTTGCGTGTTTCTCACTGTGATTTTCACAGTGAGAGCACGCCAGCGTCCATAGGAAAGCATTGTAAATGCTTTCCTATGAGACCGGCTGAATGCGCGCGCAGCTCTTGCCGCGCGTGCGCATTCAGCCGGCGGGGCGTAACGGAGGCGGAGAGGAGGAGGAGAGCTCTCCGCCCAGCGCTGGAAAAAGGTAAGTTTTTACCCCTTTCCCCCTTCCAGAGCCGGGCGGGAGAGGGTCCCTGAGGGTGGGGGCACCCTCAGGGCACTATAGTGCCAGGAAAACGAGTATGTTTTCCTGGCACTATAGTGGTCCTTTAACCCCTTAAGGACCAAACTTCTGAAATAAAAGGGAATCATGACCTGTCACAACTTGTTTTCCTGGCACTATATAATCCTTAGGTCCCCCCCACCCTCAGGCAGGAGCGTTTTAGCCACGAGGCAAACAAGGCATTTGCCTTGGGCGGCATTTTCCAGGGGACGGCAAAAAAGCCGCCCCTAAATGCCCAGGGCAAATGCCTTGTTAGCCTTGTGGCTAACTGACATACCGGGCGGGCACGCGGCTGGCGAGGGAGCACTTCCTCTGAGCTGTCTGCTCAGCTCCCTCGCGCGCCACATAGTGAGGCTGGGAGCCGGAATATGACGTCATATTCCGGCTCCCAGCTTCACTCTGCAGCCGCGAGGGAGCTGAGCAGACAGCTCAGGGGAAGTGCTCCCTCGCCCCTCCCCCCCAGCATTCCCAAAGGTAAGGATGCCGTGGGGGGTGGTTTAAATAAATTAAAAAAAATATGTTAATGTGAGTGAGTGTGTGTATATGTCTGTTAGTGTGTGTGTGTCTGTTAGTGTGTGTGTGTCTGTTAGTGTGTGTGTGTCTGTTAGTGTGTGTGTGTCTGTTAGTGTGTGTCTGTTAATGAGTGAGTGTTTGTCTGTGAGTGTGTGTGTGTTTCTGTTAGCTAGTGTATGTGTATCTGTCAGTGAATGTGTGTGTGTGTATTTTAGAAGGTTGGGTGGGGGTGGCACGGGGGAGAGGGTGCGCCTGAGTTTTGTCCTGCCTAGGGCAGCACAAAACCAGGATACACCACTGCCCTCAGGGCCCTCCTTAATCTTAATCCAGTGCCAGACTCCCTCTGCGCTGGTGCCCTCTCCTTCCCCTCCGACTTCCGCTCCCAAGTAGAGCCAGATGCGCATGCGCGGCCAGAGCCGCGCGCATTCAAACCGCCAATAGGAAAACATTACTCAATGCTTTCCTATGGACGTTCTATATGCTCAATGCGAAGACCGCCACTAGACGCTGGATTAACCCTGCAATGTAAACATAGCAGTTTTTCTGAAACTGCTATGTTTACAGCTGCAGGGTTAAAACCTGGGGGACCTGGCACCCAGACCACTTCATTCAGCTGATGTGGTCTGGGTGACTATAGTGGTCCTTTAAGGGTTAATAAGTGTGTTGGAGTTTAGAAAAATACCCCTAAGAGGTAATGCGCCATAGGCTGTCTGATACCAGCTCGCTGTGCGTGCTGGTGTCAGATGCAGGTTTTGCACAGAATCGATATAAACTTGCCCAGGAACTCTTATTGAGCACTTTAGTAATTGAAGTAACCATTTAACTTCAGTTGTGCTACACACACAGCTTGGGCTTAGGTTTTTCTTCAAAACACTATACGGGGAACCAAGCTATATTCAAACTGATTGGTTGAATGAAACTACTCTGAAGTCTGATGACACCCATACCACAACTGCTATGTGATGTTTGGAACTGAGTGATATACAACATATCCCTGATAACAGAGGTTTTTAGGATAAGAACAGACTCCATAATGAGATTCTCCAGATTGGAAGTCTCTTCGTGGCAAGCAGACCCTCTATACTGTGTATTCATAAAGAAGTAAGCTATTAAGTATATTTACATTTTTATTGCATTATTGTTTTATTCATTATTTATACAATATATTAAAAATCAGGGATAATTGCATTCCTTTCCCTTTAACGTATCTATAACTTTCAATTTAAATACTTTGAAGCCAGAAGTTTTTTTTTTTTGTTGGTTCATTCCGGTCTGAAATAAGTCTACTGATAAATTTGAATGACTAGTTTCAAATATGGAAGGAATAAATTGTTGACTTTATGTGTTTCCCACAGAGGACCTACATCTTTACTTTTTTGCTGAGCTCCCGCGTCTTCATCCATCCTCATGAAATCCTCGCTAAAGTGGGACATATCTGTATCAAACAGAAGCAGCAGCTGGAAGCAGGAGCAGAGGCTGATAAGGTAAAGGAAGCAGAGATAGAATGGTAATGCTAAGCTTTAGTGGAATCCCATTTTTTATTGTAAAGTTTCACCTCTCCCTGCTCTAATCATCGTATACTCTCATATTCTTCCTCCTTCTCTCCAAAATCGTAACCCCTCTCCCTGTTTGTTTCTCTGATCGGTTCGCTTTTGTGAATTTTTTTTTTATTTTTTTTTTATGCCTTTTTACTGTGTGTTCCTTTAGTTTGTATTTTATCATAATCTGCTAGAATGTAGTGTTAACCGTGTGGAGTTCACCAAAGTAACATCATTTTAAACCAAATGCAAGTTAAAGAGGAACTGTTAGGTTGAAGATTGGGGTAATTTTGAATACTGCACAGCAAATGATCTATTACACATATTTACCCATTTCTTTTATTTAGAATTCTTTTAGATTCTAGACCTAGAGCAATGTGTATCACTTTTCAATATGTAACATTCACAGTGAACAATCTGAAGGTCCCTTTTTAGCAATTATTAGCTTCTTTTCACAGTATGTTGCTTATATAACGTATCTCACATGACAAAAACATGACATTATGTGTTTTTCAAATCTATTAGTGAGGTTTAATAAAGCTTCCGTATTTACTACCAAACATAAGCTTTTAGTACAGCTATTGCCACCAACATATGCCATAGAACCCACAGCTAGATAGTTAGCTGTTTGACATTCTGCCATGTATTGTTTGAGCTTGTGTGTGTGGTTTGTATATATAAATATAAAAGGCAGCACTATGCAGCAGTCTAGCGCGTGCATTAAGGGGGGCTATGATATACAAAAAGTCTGATCTCCGCTTTTTGAAGTCAGGTATCACACCTAAACATCAGCCAGCTTAATCAGACTGTAAGGACATTTAATTTTTGCATGGTGTTCACAGTTGTGCTACATCTGTGTACTCTCAATGCTCTTCATTATCACAGTGATTTATTTTATTTTTTTTACTGCAAGGTTAAATGCTTACTGGTAGCGCTTTTCTCCAGATAACACCAAGGACCCCAAAATCTTTGCCTAAGTCTCATAAGCCGTTTAGTGCTTGACATTTTATGTTCACAGCGTTCTCTGCATAAACAAACAGCGCACTCCCCTCCCTTTTCAAAAGTGAAGTTCTTCCCTTGGCTCTGTGCCTAGACAGCAAATCACATACAGACACACTTGGCATTCCTCATGTCTTTTATGGGACGTAAGGGGTGTACAGTCTGTGCAGTGCTAAGTCAGCTTCTGTATATCCCTCTGAAAGCTGCAAACTCAAAAATGAATCCATTAATTATTTCTGAATTATCTCTTACAAAAGTGTAATAAACATTGTCCCTCTGATGTCAAATCATTTTAAAATTCTCTTTTCATATTACCCTCTTCCTTTGTCATCACTGATTAGGCAGGCAATTAAAATTAGTATGGAACTTGTGACGATTAGGAAAGTTTCCACCATACGAAAGAGAAAGTGTCCGTTCCCCTGCATGAACTGTATATGTCTTGTGATACTCACAATCTGCATTGTGATGTGTAATCTAATGGAGAGTTAAGGGGGAGCCCTTTAGTGACTTCTACTTGTGGCAAAGCCTCTCACACAGGCCGATACAGGAAGCAACATACACTTCTTGTGTTGTAATCTACCTACACTTCCTTCTTGGAATAACTGAGTGAAGTGCAGACCAACATTTGCTATCATATGGTTTTTGTCACTTTTTTTTTCTGTGTGACACATATCCGTAAAGAAACCACAGTTAAATGTTAGATGCTGTCACTCTAAAATCACCTTCGAGATTGTAGAAAGCACTGAATGTTTTCTGTTTTACAATGTATTTGCATACCTTGGATCCCCTAGCTTTTTATTAAAAAATCGGGGTGAATGTGCACAGCTCAGGGTCATATAGTAATACAAGCAACTCTTCAGGTAGATCACCCATAAAAGTGAGTATCTGCTAAACACACAGATACCTACATCTTACTAACTCATACGTAAAATATGTTGTATATCTTTTTGACATCATAAAACAAATGTAGCTACACACTCTTTCTCACTCAAACAGCACTGGAGAGTCACCTGTGGTCCCCAAATAGATGATTTGACTATGACTGAAATGGTTAAAACCCTGTGTTAACATATTAAGTCGTTTATTTTTATTAGAATATAAATAATGAGCTGGATTGGGGGCTTCCTTATCTAAAATACCATCATGAATCTGTTTAGCAACCATTTTACTGAGTGTGTCCTGTAGATATAAAGGGAGGGAAGTCCCCTGGATGCACAGTGAGAGATAGATGTATTTTTTAAATCCAGATATCAGAAAAGTGATGCACAGGCAATAATACACTGATTATCAATTACACCGTAGATGCTGCAAACTTGTAGCTCAGTAGGATCGCTTCAGATATGACTTAGCCCTAAGTGTTGCCTATGCAGCTATAACAGTCTCATACTTGCCGTGGAAGATTTACCCTTAGATTCTTGGATTTATTTCCAAGCTGGTCACAATATCATTTAATAAGGTCCAGTAAACAAAGTCTGATACAGATGGCATTAAAATTAATTCCAAATATATATTTTGGGATTAAGATGTTTGTGGGGTTTTTTTGGGTTAGGGAAGTGCCTAATGGGGCTTATCTTGCATGTCTGAAAACCGCTTATTACAACATATCTTGCTTAATTTTCCAGGCCAAACTCAAGTATTTTGCTGCAAAAATTATCCAATTGCTAAGGGAGTGGACGGAAACTTTCCCCTTTGACTTCCAAGATGAAAGGGCCAGAAAAGAGTTGAAGGAGATTGCACAGAGGATTACCCAATGTGATGAGGTGAGAAGAACAGATTTTGTATTATTTTGTACCTTGGGATGTGACTGGTTTATCTCTAAACATGTGTCCACTCAAAACATATCACACACCTGCACAAATAGTGGAACAGGATCAGATGGATTTTAAGATTTGGCAGGTGTGGTTTGCCTTTTGTGTTGATAAAAATGGTGACGTTTTATGGGTTTTCAATATGAGCTCTGCATGACTTTTACATTTCTAGCAGTGAAAGGAGTGGTACAATACTGTCCAAGATAATATGGATAACTTTCCTAACCTACATGAGCATACGATCATTTCACATACAGATCCTATGGATCCTCCACCATGTGTGCATGCGCAACATGTCTAAACACAAACCAGGATGGACACCAAATGTACTGCCAATATAAATGCAACTGTATTTACAAAGCAATATAACAATACATTAATCAAACATATAAAAGGACAAACAAAAAGTTTTATAAGGCTAGAATTTAACATTAACATTTAAACATACAGTATACACATTTACATCAATAGCCTACCAGAGCAGGACAAAAGTCACAAACAAACAAACAACGTTTTGGCAAGCCACGGTGCCTTTCTCACCTACAACATGGCTACGCAATGCTTCACAGGTCAGCAGAGTTCAATTTGGATCCTGGTTTCTGACTAGTTACTCCTAGTAATTGGCACAGATAATCAAAATTGCATATTTTAAAACTATATGCTTGTGCAGCTGAACATATTTTGTACATTTGGTGTCCCACATTATATATATATATATATATATATATATATATATATGTCAGTAAATGTCATAACACACCTGAGTGTAGTTTAAATTACATCATTCAATTAGCAGTAGTATCAAGGCAGTGCAAACATTTGAGGTTACTGTGTTTACAGAAATATCCTGAGTATGTCAGTAGATTTCAGTGGTAATCTGATTTGACTAAAAAACTATTTTTATATTTAACAGTTAATAGTATCTACATCTACTAACAACCATGGATTTATAGGTGTGTATATATAATCCTCTGACTTGTAGAGAAGGTCGGTATAAAATCGATCTATCGTCTTTTTAATATATCATCACAAATCTCTAAAATGGATGCATTTTTAAGTCTATAACTGTGTCCAAGTTCTTTATTGAAGCTGACATCTAATCAGTCGAAGAGAAGAGGCATTTAATGGGTTAATCAAACCATACACCAGCGTGGCACTACGACACCTACAGTATCAATCAGAGAAATTAGAGAACAGTGTAGTTTCTGATGCAAAAAGACAGATAATATCCTGCAATTAGATTGCATTTCGGTTGTCTGACTATTTTCTTGCTTGCCTACACGAGGCAGACCGTAAGAAAGAAGCTTTTGTAATGTGTTAGGAGAGCTTGATTCACAGAGAAAGAGCTGTCTCTGGACATCATCATTCTGCCATCTGCCCCTGAGACTGAATGAGCCACAGAACATGAAGTACACTCTGCTAATAAACAATGAAATAATTTGTATGCAGCAGCCATGTTGGCTCACTTCACAGAATGATAAGCTTGTTGAGAAATGGAAAGAACTAATCAGCACCTTGCTCTAGAAAATCAGACACATGTTGGTAGGATTTATATATTCTATTATCATTATTAGTAGTGCATTGATTAATATATAATTATTTAGTGCTGCTTTGTTAACCACGCCGTGCGTTTTGCCTGTGTATCCTGCATTTGAAGGGCTGATTGCCTGATTTGCTAGATATTATAAAACTGCTCTAAAATTTTGTAAAAAAACATTACTGGAAAAATTATAGCTTTGGTGGTACCAGCAGATATACTGCCTAAGCTATCGCCACCTATCTACTTGCTACTTGGATACAAATGTGTCCATAATGTTGTAGGTTATACTTTTAGTGTTAATGCCCATTGTTCAGCGCCATGGAATTTGCTGGCACTATATATATAATAATAATAATAATAATAATGGTGACAAAAAGATCTGTAATTTAGGTACATGTGTTTGTACATTTTAGACAAGGATGTATATTGTGAAACTATACATTTAAATGCTCAAATAATCGAGTTGAGGGCTTTATGATCTATGATATTTTGCACCATCTTGAATCGGTGGTTTCTGCAGCACATCTTATTGCCTGTTGGAACAGGATAACTACAGTTTATACACAATGTACATTTTTCCATAGTCATGATTATTTATTGTGAAATGATTTTTTTTTTTTCTTTTAAGGAGAATGGTACCATCAAGAAGAGCATTAGTCAGATGACTCAGAATGTGTTGCTCGCCCTATCCACACGTGGTCAGTATCAGGAAATTCGAGAGAAGATTCGTCAGCCTGTGGCCGATAAAGGAACTATCCTGAAGACAAAACCCCAGCCATCCCAGAAGGATATACTAAGTGTGTGTGCAGATCCACTAGTCCTAGCCCAACAGCTCACTACTATTGAACTGGTGAGAATCTCTACGTGTCTCTAATGTCTGATGCCTTGATGGGATTGACCCGGTTTCTTCCTATGATGTAACAGTTGTAACTGATGTGTAAGCATAATACATTGTAAATCGTTGCTCATTTTTTCCTGATAATTGTTTGAGGCAAGTGAAGCGCTGTGTGATCCTGAAAGCCGTTTCATCAGTGTTTGTATAAATGTCATTGAATGATATGATAACGGAGATCTTCTTTGCAGGAACGACTAGGAAACATTTATCCTGAAGATCTAATGCAGGTCATTAGTCACATGGACTGCTTGGACAACCACAAGGTAGAAGTTCTTCTAATGACTATTTGGGAATGCATTGAAAATACATTAACAGTTTCCAAAGTGTAATAAATTTAGAGAAACATCTAAGCATTGTCTGTCATTTCATGTTACCCATTAATTGCTTGTTTTCCATAATTATCAAGATTACATTGTGTTCCATAGCATAACATTTCTTCATTAACAAATGCTTGTAGTTTCTTGCAATTTCTTAAAACAACGAATCCATGTGGAATGCTAACACCTTACACAGACTAGTTCAGAACATTCTTTCTCTTTTCTCCAATAGTGCCGTAGTGATGTCACCAAGACCTATAACCTAGAAGCGTATGACAACTGGTTTAACTGCCTCAGTATGCTGGTGGCTACAGAGATCTGCAGGGTAAGATCTTTATGCAGAACACAAGAGTATAATTATCTTTTTTGGCCTTAGTACACTAAAATTTTGGCACCTGTAATGACTGGTTTTGAAGTGACACCGTGGACTTCTACTATGAAAGAGAAACTACTAGAAAAATGCTAAAAAACAAACAAAAAAAAACCTAAAGATATCTGTAGTAAATGCTTTGATCTCATTGTACAGTGCTACGGAATCTGATGGTGCTATATAAATAATAAAATAATTAATAATAATGAAAAAGCAAGTATCATCATCAGATATAATGGCATTCTAAGAGTCAGTTTAAGTATTGTCATGGAACAAAATGCCTTTTTCGTGATTGAAGATCTCTGCTACCAGATTTAAGGCACTTTGTCACTTTTCAGAAGATTTTTTTGAAAATTCCAATGCAATTAAAAGATGTTTACAAGACAAAGCAGGGAATACATTGTCTCATGTAATATCCAATGTTTGGCAAAAGCCAGAAAAGGAACCAAAAGCTGGTGGGAACAGACATGCTCTCACACGATGCGCAATTAATGCCCATAATACCTTATTGCATATGTGTGAGATTATTACATAGTTACATAGCTGAAAAGAGACTTGCGTCCATCAAGTTCAGCCTTCCTCACATTCGTTTTTTGCTATTGATTCAAAAGAAGGCACTTACAATTTTTTGGGGGGGATGGTTGGTATTGTCCCGGATTTATTTGTATAATGTTTGTATAATGTTATCATATCCCCTCTCAGGCGACGTTTTTCTAAACTAAAGAGGTTTAAATTTGTTAACCTTTCTTCATAGCTGATATGTTCCATTCCTTTTATTAAGTTTGTAGGTTGCCTCTGCACTTTTTTTAGTGTCATAATATCCTTCTTTAGAACAGGTGCCCAAAATTGCACAGCATATTCAAGATGTGGTCTTACCAGTGATTTATAAAGAGACAAAATATTATTCTCATCCTGAGAATGAATGCCATTTTTCATGCATGATAATACCTTACTGGCCTTGGCCACTGCTGATTGACATTGCACATAGTTTGTTGTCTATAATAATTCCCATTATCTATGGAAGATCTTGATGGATCCTCCATAGACTAACTTTGTACTCCTGTGCATGTGCAGGAAATGCAGAGACCCCACAAAAACCAGCCATTTAAAGTCTGTTAAATGTAACTTCATTCTATTGCTAGAGGGCAGAGCAACATAATAGTACTGACACTCAAATGTTTAAACATTTAATGGTTTAAAGCCTTATAACTGTAACATGCACTGAGAATCTTTAGGAAATGCCCTAGTGACTGAGCTAGTACAAATCATAACTGGTAACCTACATGTTCTTTAGGATAGAGCTTCTGCCTTGAAACATAAGCCCACTGCTCTTATACAAAGAACGGCTGCAGAATTCGACAGTGTTTGTGGCAGACTAGTGTTGAATACAGTTTCCTTTTTACAGGCAATTCAGTTTGCTCAGCAGTCAACTAAATGCATGTTGCTAAAAATGAGGAAATGTAAATACATAATGCGTGAACTTTCTAAGAAAAAGCATTCTATTTCTCAGGAGGTGTGATCTCAAATTGCATGACTCTAAATGAAGATTTATGTAGAGTAGAATTTCTACCCTTGTGTTTGAAAACTGGATTATAACACATACTTTGCCAATACTTAGATATCAGAAGAATGTGAATGTGGGTATTACTGGCACCAATCGTTATGTGCGGAGATATTGGAATCTGTATTGGATAGAGCCATTGTTACACTGTTGGCATAAATTCCAAGTATGCGCTTCCAAAGGTCAAATTCTGCCTGAGTTTCTCTGACTTTAAGGATTTGGGTTTATTCATAGGACATCATTATCCTCTATGCATATCTGTGTATACCCACAGGGGACACTTGGAGTGAGATATTGGAATGTCTTTGAAAGCATTTGTAACCCACCAGCAAGATGAAAAAGTTTATTATACAACATTTTTCTGTTCCTGAAAGTACCCTATGTACTCGGGATGAAGCAGATTGTCAACCAATTGAGATATTATTTGTGTATTTTATAGCGCCCATCTTGTATCTTTCCTGACAGGTGGTGAAAAAAAAACAGAGGACCAGAGTAATGGAATTCTTCATTGATGTGGCGAGAGAATGCTTCAACATCGGCAATTTCAACTCCATGATGGCCATCATATGTAAGCAAACATATTTTATGATATGATATTACAAACAGCCAACTTTACATTTTAAGAGCAATAAACTAATTCAAAGAAGTAGCTAGAGAAGCATTTTGTTGTAGTAGACTTATTACACTCTGCACTCGGAGCATATATTTCATATCTGAGATCTGAGGAGAGCATGTGATTGTGGACAACCTGGAATGGCTGGGAAAAGGACTGGAATCGTTCCTTGTTTTGTTCAATATTTAGACATTTCTATTATTGTCCTGCAGCTATTTCAACAGCTATTATTCTACAGACATGTTACACTACTGCTCTAATAATTATCAAACCAAACATTGTACCATAAATCCAGGGCTGCCATCAGAAATTTTGGGGCCCCTGACACAGCTCAAGGTCTGGGCCCCCCGGTGCCTGCACCCGAGTCTGCCCAAAGTGCTGCCCCCCCCTGAGTCCGCCCACAGGGATGCAGTGTCTGTACTGATTCTGGTGTGTGTTTAACGGATGCAGTGTGTCTAGTGGATGCAGATTGTACATTTGTGTAATGTATGAGGTGTATATTAGATGCAGAGTGTGTATGTGTGTTTGTGTAGTGGATGTAGTGTTTGTGTGTATTAAATTAAGTGTGTGTGTAAATGTTAGTGTATAGTGTGTGTAAATGTTAGTAAATAGTGTGTGTAAATGTGTTGGTGAAAAATGTGTGTAAATGTTAGTGTATAGTGTGTGAATGTTAGTGTATAGTGTGTGTAAATGTTGGTGAAAAGTGTGTGTAAATGTTAGTGTATAGTGTGTGTAAATGTTGGTGTATAGTGTGTAAATGTTAGTGTATAGTGTGTGTAAATGTATGGGGCTGCAAAATGTGGGGGGAAAAGCCTACAGTTTTTTTTTTTTTCCATCCATTAATTGTATTGTTTTTTTCCCCCCTCCCTGTATCTCACCTGTGGCCATGGAGGGGGGAGATCACATTGGCTGGAGCTGGAGGTCCTGAGGAATGGTGCAGCCCCCGCTACCTGTATTCTGCAGGGGGCCCAGCACACTTGAAATATACTGCCCAGATGCTCTGCTCTGTCGAAGTCTTGCGAGCCGTGTGGAGCATTGCCATGGCAATGCGCTGACGATCGCATCGCTCACGAGACTTCGACAGAGCAGAGCATCTGGGCAGTATATTTCAAGTGTGCTGGGCCCCCTGCAGAATACAGGTAGCAGGGGGGGCCTGCAGTGCACACATATATAGCGTTAATTGCTATATATGTGTGCACATAGCTAATGTGGGCAGTGGCGTACACACAACCCATGGGGCCCCGGTGCGAAAACTGATCCGTGCCCCCCCCATGCGCTTACTCTGCGCGGGCTGGGCCGCAACACATGGCGGCGGGCACCGGGTCGCAGGGCTGCGACCCCTGCAACTGTGGTATGTACGCCAATGCATGCAGATACACTTAAAGGACCACTACAGACACCCAGATCACATCAGCTCAATGAAGTGGTCTGGGTGCCAGGTCCCTCTAGTTTTAACCCTGCAGCTGAAAACATAGCAGTTTCAGAGAAACTCAAGCAAGGTTTGGGAACCTCATAGAACCCCTCCAGAACCCTTCCATTGTAAATAACAGAGTGTAGAATAAGGAGCCACTGATTTTAAACTGCAGTGAATAATGAATTTTTACACTTCAACCAGAATACCATTAGTTTCAATTCTTAACTCTCTGTTAAAACTTGTGACTTCTTACTTTAATCACAAACATCCAGTATTTGCTACATAAGAAGATTATTGGTCTAAAGTCCTTATTGTCATTCCCCTTAGTTCCAAAGCAAATTAGGGAGTCCCAAGTTATTTGGCTGGTCATTCTGAACTACGATTTCATAATGCAGACTTTGTTTGTTATTGAGTTACATTTTACACTGGCATTTATATTGCCATTCTTAATTTTTTTTTACATTGTCTTGATTATTTCCTCTGGGTTTTATTCCCCTCTATCACCTGTTATATTTTTTTACATTTTCTTTTCTATTCCTACGTCTTCCTCTCCCATCCATTATTTCATGCTAACAAAAACCTAGGATCCTTTTTTCTGTTTTTGTATTCTTCATATTTCACTAAATACACAAAGCCTTGTGCTTTTACGCAACGATTGATTTTGCTTATTGCACAGTACGTTCCTTTCGTGTGAAAAATACACCTGTAGAATCTGCTGACTCATGTTGTTTAGTGTTGGGTGACGTCTGTTCCATAGTATACAATGTACTAACTGAAAACTATTTACATAAGGTTGTACATACCTAGGAGGATTTTTTTATTTGTTTTCTTTCAAGTGGTAATAGCCACATCATCGAAACGCATACGATCGTTATAACAAAAATGTAATATTTATTTAATCGGTGTACCTGTAGAGACAAGATACTGCCATACAATCTTTATAATGGAAATTTCATATTTATTTAATCGGGGTACCTGTAGAGAAAAGATACGGCCATACAATCTTTATAATGGAAATTTCATATTTATTTAATCGGGGTACCTGTCGAGACAAGATACGGCCATACAATCTTTTTAAAGCAGTTAGTCTCGGTCACCTGTAGAGAATATAATAAAACATTTACGAGATATACCTTGGGATAGAAGCTAGGTGCGGTAGGATACCAAATTGCCTTTTAATGGCTTATTATATTTTTCTTGCAAGAAATGCAAAATCATGTAATTTTTATTTATTTTTTTCATAGCTGGGATGAACCTCAGTCCTGTCGCTAGGCTAAAGAAAACATGGTCCAAAGTAAAAACAGCCAAATTTGATGTTTTGGAGGTAAGGTTAGCATCAAAACAGCCATTGTTTTTTGTTTATTTGAGATATGATTATGAACATATAAACACCATCTGGCAGAACCCAAAATAGCAACTTTGTTATTGGTACCAGTGTTGTGCTTATATTTAGAGAAATTGTACACATAATTGTAGCTATGTGGCAGTGTTTGTATGAAAGTGTAACAAGCGCTGTGATAAGCAGATATATTTGTGTGTTTTTTTGTGTGTTTTTTTTTTAATCATTTCCTTTAATGTTTCCTGAAATGTTATGTTTTCAAATCTAAGAGAATTTATACTGCATGCAGAATTCAGAATAATCAATTACAAAATCTAAAGGAACATCTATCCCACTATATATACTAGTATATCAAATCAGTGACCAACCTTTATCCCCGAGTTCATAACTGAACTGATTGTATACACTTGCATTATGTCAAGTCTAGCCATGTTAATAGCGGATCCTTCTGACCTTGTCACTTCTCATTATGGTACTTGTTAAGAGAATGTGACCCTACTCTAAGAGAGACCGTAGCTGTAATCATGTTTCCTGGTGTAAATTGAGCCGAGCAAAAGCCCCATCTAGTGTCTAACTATATGATTACATTTTAATATTGGATTGTTTTTCTTTATATAAAACATGATGCTGTTGACACAATACTCATAAAATATATTTGCAGGAGACATTAAAATGCTTGTTGAGATGTAAAGGTTTATCATCTAATGTCAGACTGTGTGTATGAGTGATGAAATGTAAAACAAATTATTTTTTGTTTTTGTTTTAAGAATAAATATATGATTTAGTATTGTGGGGACAGTGATACTGATGGCTGTTTAACTGGCGGTTGTATTTTATAGCATCACATGGACCCATCAAGCAACTTCTGTAATTATCGTACAGCTCTGCAGGGGGCAACACAGAGATCCCAAAGTGCCAATAGCAGTCGCGAGAAAATAGTCATTCCTGTTTTCAACATATTTATCAAAGATATTTTCTTCTTGCACAAGATCCACTCAAACTGTTTACCTAATGGACACATCAACTTCAAGGTAACTATGGCTTTACATTTTTTGCACTGGGAAAAAAGTCATGGTTGTAACCTTTTGAAGCCTAGCTAATTGAGATTATATGTGCATTTTGGAAGTCAGCTTTTTTGAAATCCCAAGCATTGTGTTTTGATAATGTTTGGTTTTACCTGGCAATTCAGATGTCATTCTGAAGGGAAATTTTAATTTCCTTAAGTCTTACAGAATAGATCTAGGCAACATGCATTGTGTTCCTTAGAAAATCCTGGACTTACAGCATCTCACATGGACGTCGTAGATTGTCACATGTGCTTACATGTGATTGCCTACATCCTTAACCACTGTCAAAAGTTTAAATGGATAGGGTGGTTTGGTACTCTGGATAGTGACTGGTCCCGGATTCCCAGTACTCTAGTATAAGTACGCTGAAAGAGGGATCTGTATTTATATATTTGTGTAGGCGCATTCTGGGTAGGTGTATGCAAATGAGCTCAACAAAGAACCAAATTTTTGCCTCATAATTCTACTTTATACATGGGTTTTTTTTCCCAACCACATCTCTGTTGGTATGTACTTTACAAGTAGCGCCAAGCCTCTATAGCAAGTCAGTAACCAACCTCATGCTTCATTAACAACGAAACAGCTGTCCATGAGTGGTTCACTGGCTTTGCTCCTCTTCCTGAGTTGTTTCAAAGCTGTTGTATACAGCAGATACATACTCCAAAGAATCCATGTATAAAGTGGAATTATGAAGCAAAAACGTGGTTCTTTGTTGAGCTCATTTGCATATACCTACCCAGAATCCCTTGCAGTAGTGAGAGCACTGTTAAAGGGATATTTCTGTGGGAAAAGCAATTCTTATGGCTTGACTGGTGAGTGTATTTGTGTTTAGCAACGTGTGTGTGTGTGTGTATGTGTTTTTTCAAATTGGATTAGCCATATTAGTCCAGTAGGCAAGATGCTGAAATACCAGAGTATTGCAGTGCAATGATACCTTTTGGTTTGTGTGGTGGTTGTTTTGTTTTTTTTGGGACTAACAATATGTCAAAGACAAGCTTTCTAGAGTTTCCTCAGGTCTGAAGCAATACAAATCAATCTGAAAGAGTTTAACATTTAAAACAACTGATGTTAGAGAAGGGAAGGGGGAGCGGGGGCAGTGAGTGTGGTGTCATAAGTAGCAGATGTGCCTGAATGTGCATATCTTGAGCTATTTATGACACCCCACTCAAAACAATTGATGTTAGAGAAGGGGAGGGAGGGGGTGAGTGAGTGTGTCATAAATAGCAGAAAATGTGCACTTTCAGGCACATCTTCTGCTACTTATGACACCACACTCACTTACCCCCCCTTCCCTTCTCTAACATCAGTTGTTTTAAGTGTTAAACTCTTTCAGATTGATCAGTATTGCTTCAGACCTGAGGAAGAGAGGAAACTCTTGAAAGCTTGTCTTTGTAATATCATGTTAGTTCAATAAAAAAGGTATCATTGCATACTGCAATACTCTGGTATTTTGGCATCTTGTCTATTGGACTAATACGGTTAATCCAATCTACGCTATATATATATATATAAAGAAAATGTTCCCTTTTTTACACTCTGCCATCTAGTGGTTATTTTTTTAAGTATTACTGCTCTATATCCAATATATAACTGCAATTACTTTGACCTGTGTTTGAGATACCGGTTAATGGTTGGCACCGATTGTCAGGCATTTACACTGTTTGTTTGTTTGTTGATGTTCATTATGCATGACTAAGGCTGTGTAGGACAAAACATCACGTTTATTTTCTGGTGTGTTCTGTGTGAACCAATAAGCCTGACTACATAGCACCTACACCTACACTGTAAAGCCCATGGCTTATATATTGATTCCACTGTCACAAGACTGCCAGTGTAAAGAAGGGCGAACCTGCTTAGACGTATACACAGCTTTTACACTACGCAAAGCTACATTGTGATTATTTTCATGCAGCAGAAACAAAATATAAGTCTTTTTAATTAGAATACATAAATTTAGATGGATGAAGAGCTTGAGTCTGACTAATTTCACAAATGCTTTTTGTTTCTTGCATGCAATTTTTTTTTCTTAATACAATGATTTACTAAGGTAATCATGTACTCTTCACCCCTCCCCCCCCACCCCCCCCAAAAAATAGGGCTTCTCCATACATGATAACCACTACACCTTATTAGTGGAATTATTCTGTAAGAAGAACAGTCTTGCCCAACTATTTTCAAGCTGGTCCCAAGCAACCAAAGACGGTCTTCTGTCCCTCTAACTCCTTTATATCTACCTGGCCTCACTTGCGTCTGTGACCTCTCTACAAGCTGTGGCAATAGAGGAAGGGTTATTTTGTGTGTTTTTTTATTTTCAGAAGCACCCTGCAGGTTAACACCTGGGAGGACTGTCCACCCAGCTTCTAACTGCGCTCTTACATGTTCAAAACCTTAGCAAATGCCAAAATGTACACTTAAGTTATTAAAGCAAATATGCTAGGTTAAAATTCTAGACATGCACAAATAATTTTTAATGACTGCACCAGTTATTATGTAGCAACTCCTTTTTAATAACTATATTGTGCATTTATTTCCTGCAAGAGTTTAAACCTACTATTCTGTGCATGTAGATCTGACAATTCTAAGTGAGATTATTATATTTTCTACATCAGAAATTCTGGGAGATCTCAAGGCAAATTCATGACTTTTTAACGTGGAAGGAAGTGGAATGTCCGTTCGAAAAAGACAAGAAAATCCAAACATATCTTCTGACTACTCCAATTTACAGTGAAGAAGGTAAATAGCCTTATCAACACAATTAAAATGTGTTTTTCTTGCGTGAAGGCAACTATTACTTAATTAAAGTTTATAACCATAACAAAATATTGACCCATAAAAGATCTAATATATGAAAAGGATGGCGATAGACATTAAAATGATTCTATATATAGCATAATGTCCACATAATTCTAAAATCAGTTTATCAGAGTGAAATATATGTACTCACATTCTAGCTGCAGTAGCGGGGATATCTTGTAAGAACACTCATATCTGTGTAGCCTCCTTGATGCTTGGAATCTGAGTGTAGAGTGGCATCATAGTTACTATACAGCACTGCTGACTCAAATGAAGCTTTTTGCAGCAAAATTTTGTCACTTCTCTACATAAATTTGGGAGGTGGGTATATTACATAATATCTCTTTCCCTATAAATGCTGTGTAGTTCCAGAACTGGTTAGAAAATCTCATAATTTGAGCAGAGCCCTCAACACCCTCTGCTCCTGTTCGTCCACCTGGTCTAGTTGCAAATACATGTCTGTTAGCCCACCTATTGTTCATGGAACTTGCTGGCACTTTATAAATACAGGTGGTCCTCAATTTATGATGGCTCGCACTTATGACTGGGGTGGTAAGTGCGAGCCGTTGTGTGAATTAGAGGGATTCCCTGCTCTGTTGTGTTCATCTATGTTCGGGGAAATTTCCCAGAACATAGACGAACGCACCAGAGCAGAGAATTCCTTAAATCTATGCTCGGGGAAATTTGCCTGAACATAGATTAAAGGGATTTCCTGCTCTGGTGCCTTAAATGTATCTCCCAAGTTTGTTTCTAACAAAATTGATAACTATGTGACTTTCACTGTAGGGTTATCACATCTTTAGTCAGCTGAGATTGGTAAAAGTAAAAAAGTAAACAATATTATAATATTGTTCCTGAAGAGTAAACGATGCAACAAAAGCAGTGGAAACCATCATAAATGTGTTTGTTGTGTAGAAAAAGGTGCAGGTAGGCAGCGCCTTTGGTGTTGTTCTCAAAACCAAGGTAATATGTGAAATAAGCACAGAGAACATAATATAGTGTAGTATGTCAGGAGTTCTGATATCTTAACAAGGACAAAAGTTGTACTTACAATTTTCTGGAGCTTATGTTCAGCTCCAGATTTATGCGCATGGACGGAATAATCCCCGTCTATGGATATGGTAGTGTGGCCTCGTGCTTTTAGTGGTAGTGCCGTAGCCTGGCAGGGAGGTATCCTCAGTATGCAGGAGAAGAAATAAAAACAGAATATAGTGCTCTCTAAATGTTAAAAATAAGGATAAAAATAAAACAAGATATACTCACAAATGGGAAGCAAATGGAGATATTGCTCAATCCCAAAGCGCTTAGGTGGTATTATCCCCACCAAGGATATCACTATGTGAGTCTTCTGGATAAAAAAAGCTTGAAAGATAGGTCTGGAATCTCCAAGTGGTATAAAAGGAATAATAACTTTTATTTGGAGATAAAAAATAAGAACAAGGTATAAAAGAATTATAAAACACTAACGCGTTTCACCTATAACAGGCTTTCTCAAAGTGTTACAGTTTATGAGACCTATCTTGTTTAAATAGCTTTAGAACAGGTGGTGAAATCAGTCGTGTGACTAAAAGTAAATTACTTAAAACATGAATAAAACTTACTTTGTAGCCAAAAAGCAGAGAAGGTACAATAAAATGATACATTAAAGTGTAAAAATAACTTTATAATAATATTGCATTTTAAAAGAAGATACATATTATAATTTTATGTGATGTAACTTTAAGGGGAGGACCCAAGATGGCCACCGCCATCTCCATAATAGGAGTGTCAAGATGGCTGCCACTTTCTTTTGTGTGTGTGGGGCAGCTGAAATTGTGAGAGAGAGAGGGGAAAAACAAAAGCAAAGGGACTATAAGAGGGGAAGGTGAAGGTGGGGAGGTGAATGAGGTACTTCTCCCCTAAAAACGAGCAGTATAACACTGAAATCAGCACATTGTATGGGAGTACCAATATGGCGTCCATGGCCTGCATCATGTGATCGGCATGTGTCATGATATCATAGGGGGTGTGGTCTTGGAGGCATACTGTGGGGAGGGAGGGAGGAGTAGTGTGTAGAGTGGAGAGGAGGAGTTAGGGGAGTGATTAGTTTAGCTTGCTCTTTGAGGCAGTAAGATAACTCCACCTCATGGCAGGGGAACGTGGGAAATGTAGTAACAAGAAAAAAAATAAAAAATTAGCTAGATTGGAAAACAAAGCATATTATATAAAACCTGCATAATAATGAATGTATAAACTCTCCTGGACTTATAAAAAAGTTAAAGCATAAGTAAATATAAAAATAAATAAATAGATAATTAAGTAATAGCCAAACTTTGATTGCTGGTACATGTAATAGCAGATACCTAATAATAAGCATATTGATAGGAAAACAGGCTAATAACTAGAATAAACCATGAAATAGGATTCAAATATAACTTAAATGAAGATAAAAACATATGAGATGCATACATTGTAAAACAGTAAATGATAGAAAATTAAAAAGGTCAAAGTCGGCATTTAACCCTCTAGGTGCCAGTGTGTCCAGTTTAAAAACCCAATTCATTTCTATTTTGCCCAGTAATTTGGGGAGGTTGCCACCTCACCAGGGGGTGTGACTATTTCTATAGCATAAAATCTTAGGCAACTGGGGTGTTTGTGGTCTGCAGTGTTCTGCAATGCGTGTTTTTAGATTCCTGGTCGTCATCCCAACGTACTGCAGATTGCATGGACATTCTAATATATAAATTAAATTTTTTGAGTTGCAGGGGATAAAATATTTTATGTTGTATTCCTTTGATGAGTGTTTGGATTTGAAAGCGGTGGTTATGGTGTTTTCTTTTTTAGTGCTCTTACATCTTTTACACTTATAGAACCCCTTTTGTTGATCAAAGAAAGTATGTTTTGGCAGGGGTTTTTTTTGTGTGGTTTTTTGTTAGACATCTTTTTAGGTTGGGTGCCCCTCTGAATACTATTTTTGGTCTTTCTGGAAGGATATTTTTTAAAATTTTACCTTCTTTTAGAATGTGTTTTTTCATAATTTTTTTTTTCATTTTAAAGCTTTTATTATTATAGTGCAGCACAATTGGAAGGGTGAGCTCTTTGTCTTTGTTGATGGTTTGGTATTTAGAAATTGGTTTCGATCAGTTTTAGCTAGTTCATCGATTAAAGTGTTCATGTCTTTTTCATCATAGTTTCTCTCTTCTAGTTTTTCTTTAAGTTCTTGGGCTTGTGTTATAAATACCTCATCATTGTTGCAATTACATTTTAATCTTATCAGTTGGCTTTTGGGAATACTTTTTAGCCACAGGGGGGTAGTGGCAGCTGCTAGAATCAATGAACGTATTTGTGTGAACCTTTTAAAAAAAATGTTTTTGTGAACAACTGGTTGTTTTCAATATAGATGTCTAGGTCTAAAAATTGAACTTTGTTCGTACTGATATCTATATTTAGTTTAATTCCCCTGTCATTTTCATTTAAAAAACATAAAAAGTGGTTAAGATCCTCCCAGTCGACCATAAAAAGATTGGCGTAGCTAGGCGCTACCTTCGTCCTCATAGCAGTGCCTTTTTGTTGAAGATAAAAAGAATCATAAAACCAGAAATAGTGGTTATTTAAAATGATGTCCAGGCCCTCTAAAGTAAAATTAATTAGAGTTGGAGGTATATCTTTCTCTTTTTCTAGAGTCCTTTTTCTAGCTTCACATCCAAGATCATGGGGTATAATTGTGTAGAGGGACTGGACATCACTGGTAATTAGAATGTAATTTTGCTTCCATTTAAAATCCTTTAAAATTTGTAGGAGACTCATACTGTCTTTTAGGTATGATCTCATTTTAGAAACCCGGGGTTGGAGGCGAGTGTCTAAATAGTCTGAAAGATTTGATAAAATAGAGTTTATGCCTGATACAATTGGACGACCGGGAGTTTTTTTTTCATCTTTATGAACTTTAGGTAAAAAAAATATGACTGGTGTAGTTGGGTACGTTATGTTCATATATGTGTATTCATGGTTGTTAATCACTTGTTCTTCCAATCCTTTCTTGAGGAATGTGATTAGTGTTTTTTTAATATTAGGGGTGGGATCTGATGGAAGTTTGCTGAATACTGAGGAGTCATTTAATTGAGAGAGGGCTTCTTTCATGTACATCTCTATAGGAAGAATGACCAGACCCCCTCCTTTATCTACAGGTCTGATTACGATACTCTCATCATTTTTCAGGTTTTTTAGAGTGGTCTTTTCTTTTTAGTTAGGTTGAATTTGTCGTGTTTAGTGGTACGTTGGGATGACGACCAGGAATCTAAAAACACGCATTGCAGAACACTGCAGAAATATCAAAAAAGTTTTTTTAAATCATTCCGTGTCCAAACACTTTCTTACCCACAATAAACACCCCAGTTGCCTAAGATTTTATGTTATAGAAAAAGTCACACCCCCCTGGCAAGGTGGAAACCTCCCCAAATTACTGGGCAAAATAGAAATGAATTGGGTTTTTAAACTGGACACACTGGCACCTAGAGGGTTAAATGCCGACTTTGACCTTTTTAATTTTCTATAATTTACTGTTTTACATCTCATATGTTTTTATCTTCATTTAAGTTATATTTGAATCCTATTTCATGGTTTATTCTAGTTATTAGCCTGTTTTCCTATCAATATGCCTATTATTAGGTATCTGCTAGTACATGCACCAGCAATCAAAGTTTGGCTATTATTTAATTATCTATTTATTTATTTTTATATTCACTTATGCTTTAACTTTTTTTATAAGTCCAGGAGAGTTTATACATTCATTATTATGCAGGTTTTATATAATGTGCTTTGTTTTTTTTTTTTTGTTACTACATTTCCCACGTTCCCCTGCTATGAGGTGGAGTTATCTTACTGCCTCATAGAGCAAGCTAAACTAATCACTCCCCTAACTCCTCCTCTCCACACTTCCCGTCCCTCCCCACAGTATCCCTCCAAGACCACGCCCCCTAAGACGTCATGACACATGCCGATCACATGATGCAGGCAATGGACGCCATATTGGTACTCCCATACGATATGCTGGTTTCAGTGTTATACTGCTCGTTTTTAGGGGAGAAGTACCTCATTCACCTCCCCACCTTCCCCTCTTATAGTCCCTTTGCTTTTTTTTTTTTCCTCACTTCTCTCTCTCTCTCTCTCACAATTTCAGCTGCCCCACACACAAAAGAAAGTGGCAGCCATCTTGACACTCCTATTATGGAGATGGCGGCGGCCATCTTGGGTCCTCCCCTTAAAGCTACATCACATAAAATTATAATATTTATCTTCTTTTAAAATGCAATATTATTATAAAGTTATTTTTACACTTTAATGTATCATTTTATTGTACCTTCTCTGCTTTTTGGCTACAAAGTAAGTTTTATTCATGTTTTAAGTAATTTACTTTTAGTCACATGACTGATTACACCACCTGTTCTAAAGCTATTTAAACAAGATAGGTCTCATAAACTGTAACACTTTGAAAAAACCTGTTATAGGTGAAACGCGTTAGTGTTTTATAATTTTTTTATACTTTGTTCTTATTTTTTATCTCCAAATAAAAGTTATTATTCCTTTTATACCACTTGGAGATTCCAGAGCTATCTTTCAAGCTTTTTTTATTCAGAAGACTCACACAGTGATATCCTTGGTGGGGTAATACCACCTAAGTGCTTTGAGATTGAGCAATATCTCCATTTGCTCCCCATTTGTGAGTATATCTTGTTTTATTTTTATCCTTATTTTTAACATTTAGAGAGCACTATATTCTGTTTTTATTTCTTCTCCTGCATACTGAGGATACCTCCCTGCCAGGCTACGGCACTACCACTAAAAGGACGAGGAAACACTACCATATCCATAGACTGGGATTATTCCGTCCATGCGCATAAATCTGGAGCTGAACATAAGCTCCAGAAAATTCTAAGTACAACTTTTGTTCTTGTTAAGATATCAGAACTCCTGACATACTACACTATATTACGTTCTCTGTGCTTATTTCACATACTAGCTTGGATTTGAGAACACCACCACAGGCGCTGCCTACCTGCACCTTTTTCTGCACATCAACCATATCACCAGAAAGAAGAGACTATGGTTAGGGGAGTCAAAGCTGCCACACATCCAGAATACAAGCGCCAAAAACTCCACCTCCTCATACATCATAAATATGTGTTTGTTTATTCTGTTTGTTTTTAGCACTCTTTGTTGCTTCCTTTGAAAATGAAGGTCCAGACAATCACATGGAGAAAGACAGCTGGAAATCCCTCAGGTAAAATTATTTTGATGTTGATTGCTTATTAAGAATATGCTAGAAAAAGCAAGGAAGGTGGAGGAGACGGTATGCTTGTAAAAAGCAAGGTCACATTTTTTTTCTTAAATAATTTTGAGCCTGGATGAATCCCAAATAGAGGAATGTGAAAACTATTCTTTGAAGTTTGATCTTTCGTCTTAGTGGAACAATATCTAGTTGAAATAAATAATTGTTAAAATATGTAATAATTTATTTTTTTTTTATTTTTTTTTAGGTCAACGCTTTTAAACAGGGCCTGAGAGACTTTGCAAGATGTCCGAAGCACAGAAGAATGTTTTTGTTTGTTGTTTTTTGTTATTTAATTATATTGATTCATGTAGAACGTTATGGTCAGGAAGACGGTCCTCACTGGTTGGGGGGGTCTACTGTTTTTTTGTATATAAACTTTTACGAGACTAAAGAATAATGGTATATAAATATGATATAAATATATATTTCATGCTTTACGCACTTATATAAAATAAAAAAGGGAATTATGTTTTTTTATGGTTTACGGAAACTATTACTTAACCCTACGCTGCTGGTGTGGCTTAGACACAATGCAGAGGTTTGTACCTGTAAAGTGCAGAGAAAATACATTGCATAAGCCATAAGGTCACGAAAGGGTTAAACCTCCATAATATATTGTTACAAGGGCAGGGCCCTCGTTTACTCAAATTTGGGGGCTTTATACATTTTTGGGGCTTTCATGGGCACTGGGGAGTCTTAATATGTACTTATACTGTACCCCTTTAAACCATTTGCTGCTGCATAAACGTAGAAATTCTATCCATACTGCAATTCTTACACAGCAGGACAAGTCAATTATGTTTTATTTGTTTTGCACATGTGCCCGAAAAAAGAAGAGGGGGGGAAAAAACAAACAGATTGTTGGAAATACACACATATTTTACTTACATTAATATGTGCCGCTTGTAGTTTTTTTTCCCCCCCTTTTTTTTTTCCTCCAAAGTTAAAAAAACAAAAAACAAGCTGCCTTTCTAACACTGGAACAAAGATTCTAGCCTGGAACAAAAGGGATGGGGGGGTATTCAATATGTGTTTACTAATGAGTTCAGTGAGGGTGCCTTTAATATTTCTGCAAAACATTAACTTGAACATTTTTTCATTGTTTCAATGTTCTATGGTAGAGTTAGGGCTCATAAGATGGACACATTTGTGTGTGTGGAGTGACAGTGTCTGCCGCTAGCTGCATATCTAGGACTTGTAGCTGTATCTTGTCATACAGTGTGATTCATACCACAATGACTGACCGCATGCAGTCACTCACTGGATTTAGCAGAGGCTTGAGATCATTCTTCTATTGCCATTTTGTTTAGAAAAGGATGTTTTTTTTTTCTGTGGATACAATATACCTTGTTACGTACATATTTTTCAAGGCTGTACGGTTGTCCATAAGGCCCACTAGACTTGCCACAAATTAAGAGGCAGATTGGTGTCATTTTAAATTTCATACAATTTTGCCCACATCCTTCCCAGTTATAACCTACCCTTTAAAAAAAATATTTTTATAAGATCTTTATAAAGCACTCCTAAGGTATTAGAACCAAAGTGAGCCTGCCACTCCCTAAACTTATTTTGGAAAAGATCAAAAAAAATAATTTAATCTGCAATTTTTTTCCTGAACTAGTATATTGCGAATACTACTATTACTATACTGTTTATTTTTTATTATTTTTCACGACTCGCATCCTTTGTCAGAAATCAGAAAAAAAAAAAAAATACATAATGCTTTTCAGCGGTTTTACATTACACACTACAAATGAGTTGTAAAGTATGTCTAATACTGCAGAAAAGTTCTACAGCCAACATCACATTTGATTTCTAAATTTCCAGCCTCTTTGCTTTAGTTCCAGTAAATAAAGCAGCTCTTACAGTCTGTTTTAAGCTGTGTGTGTCCTTTAAGCCCCAGGTAATAAGGGAAAGTCTTCCCTTTATCCCGTTGCTTTTACCCATTAGTGTTCCACACTAATCAAGTCATTCTCATATACACATCAACTGGCTCAGCTCTCATTTCATCATCTGAGTCTGGCGCATTCCCTGGTATGCTGTATGATTTCATCATTGTTTCTTTCAAACCAGCTTTCTCAATCAAAACTGTACTGTGAAGCAGGGTATTCTATGTTTGACCTGGTGTGCTTGCATAAATAAATACAGAATTGCTTCAAAATTAGTCAGTGTCTTGCTTCCTCAAATTGACCTTTGATTAATGTCTACAGACACAGTTTGAATTGGTAAGTGTCACGGATAGATTGGATCCAACTAGCAAAGATAAGGAAAGCAAATACTAATAAGAAAAGTAGGCGTATTACCGGACCTTAGAATGGCTGGACTAAACGCTAAATAGATTGGTACAAGACAGGCCGAGGTCAGGGATACAGAAAACAGAATAAACGTTAGGAATAGCCAAAAGTCAAGGAAATGCTAAGGTCAATAAGCCAGAAATACAAGATAAAGAAACACTCTTGGATAAACCAAATAAATAGAAACCACAACAGGGATTTGGTGAGTCTAAATAGCTCTAGGAGAGTTCTAATTGGTTAATTGAACCTGGTGGCGCCAAAACATCTGCGTCACCTGAAGCATCCACAGAGATGGCACCTTTAAAATACGACCTTTGGAAGTGGCCACCGTACAACGGAGCGCCAGCACAATCCTTGGCTGTGTAGTGTGGAGAGCGGAGGGAGACCTGGCATGAGGTAGGTATATGACGGAGTTTATTAGTGTGTCCATGCCGATCGAGTGGACAATAAGATACTGAAACTACTAAGAAGGATATCCAATTTGAAATATGTAAAAGTTTCAACTACCAGCTCTGCATGTGCAATTTGAATTGTCGATACTAACATGTAAGATGACTAGCACAGGTGTATGATTTCAGTAATTGTGAAGGCATACGATATCCCAGTTACATTGTCTTTGGGAGGTAAATTAAATTGGAGATTTGTTTTTGTTCCGCACTGCTGTTTGTCCAGATTTGGGATAACTCAAAACCAAAATTTAGCCGAAGCACAATCCAATTAAATGTGCAATGGACTGGCTGAGTATTTTGGCTTTCATTTAGGATTCAAGTTAAGAAAACAGTGTCCAAGAGAATACTAAAGAACAGACAGAAACTTGAGTAGCTTGCCCTTCAGTGGGTCCCTGCTCAGATCTCAAGCTAGTATTAGCTCATCTTGGGAAGAGAGCCAGCCTGCATTTTGGATCTGGACTGCCCCAGCTTGAGATCTGAGCAGGAACCCTGAAGGGCAAGGTAATGAAGCCGTTGTCTGTTCTCAGTATTCTCTTGCACACTGCTTTAGTGATTCTGAATCCCACCCATGGCACCAAAGAAAAAAGATGATTGATGGTTAGATGGAAGGACAGTAATTAAATGGTTTTATTCACAGAACAAGAGAGGAAAAAAGTGGGAACAGTGTAAAAAAAAAAACTATATATATATATATATATATAATTTGTTGGCGCTATATAAATAATAGATATATATATATATATATAAAATCTGTACATAGGCCCATTTTTTTTCTCACCCTTTTGGTTCATCTGATTTGTCCGAGATATGGGCAAAATATGGCTGTGCTGGGGGGGATATTTTCAGAAAAAGTGGTTTCGCTGAAATTTATTTTCTCACTGAGCACAAGTCTAATGGTACCAAAGGGGTTTTAAATTATGGCCACCACCTTGAGTAAGTGGGGAGATGATGTGATGTTATTTACTTACATAGCGACTAAATACATGTAAGCTTTATTTATTAATTCAAATAGTAATACTAAAAAAATTCAATTTGCCTTTAACCCCTTAAAGGACCAAACTTTTGGAATAAAGGGGAATCATGACATGTCACACATGTCATGTGTCCTTAGGGGGTTAAGCTTTAAGGGACACTATAGGCACCCAGACCACTTCAGTTAATTGAAGTGGTCTTGGGGAAGTGTCCCTATTGTACTTAGTGTTGCAATGTTAAAGAGAGTTTTCAGAGAAACTGCAATGTTTACATTGCAGCACTAAGACCGGTTGAACCCCTAGAGGTAGGAATGTCTCCGGGGACATCCTGGTACCATAACAACTTGGTGCCTGGAGTGTCCCTTAAAGGAACTGCATTAAAAAGGTGTGTGATGAGGAGCCTGTCTCCGAGGAAGATGTGTTAAAATAATGATTCTAGATATAATTAGTACCTAGAGAAAGCCATCACAGATGCTGAAAGAGTGAATAATGGAAGCCAGCAGACAAACCGACCGCCTAGTACTTTTTACTCCAATTCTCACTGCCTCTTCCCCTCCTTCACACTTCACCCACTTACTAATTGGTAAGAAGTACAGCAGGGGCCCCATTACATATTTACCAGTAATAAAGGCTAAAAACGGAACTGAAGTCCATCAAGTTCAGCCCTTTACACATCATAACAAAATTTGAAGCATTTTCCAATTTGCACACGTCTGCTTGGATCAACAGGCTACTTCGAAGCATATTTGTTTTACAGGACTCAAAATTTCCAAATCGCATTTTCACTGAGATCACTACCACCAGAGACTGACAGCCCTAAACAGAAAACATATCCATATCTGCACCCAAGGCTGCCCCCACCCTTCTACTAGTTGCAGCCTAGCCGCCACAGACTCTCAGTGCCGGCGATGACCAGGTATGGGACTGATGCTCCAGCTCCATTAATTTCAGGGGGCAAAACGACCCCCCTCACCCTGCCGCGACCCTTCCCATCTGGTATTTCCCAGGTATTTAGCTTTATAAAGTGTCTACAACCTGCTTTGGGCTGCATTCCCAACAACCCAACTCTGAGGAGAAACGCTGCTAATCCCTATAGTTCACCCTTTTTTTTTGTTTTTGTTTACAGAGGCCATTGTAGGGGATTATGGTACTAAAAGAGTGTGTTCACCATCCTCTGCTTGTGGATCCAACAGTTCCAGAGATTCCATTTTGTGTGTTTTATTTTCGAAGTTCTCTTTCTCCTGCTCTGTTAATTAAACATTAATCACACACAGGAGGCTCCAGGCTAAGAAACGAACAGGAGATCCACCCCAAAAAAATAAATTCTAAAATAAACACTGTGCAATAAAGTATAAATATTAGATCTCTATATACACCAAGTGTGTAGGGAGACTGTAAGTCACATGTAGGGAGGTGTGATTAGTGCTGCATAACTAAGTGATTTAACTCCTAAAGGGCAGAGAATCCAGCAGTAAAACTGCAGGGGGCATGATCTCTACACCAAATCGCTCTATTC